CTCGGTCGCATCGTCAATAAGTAATGTAATGGCCATCAAGCTTCATGAATAGTACAATAATGTAAATCAAAAGGCCTTAACTCTTCATAGCAAATGTTTAACTAAAATTATACAGTTTTAATTATATTTTATCTTACTTACAGTTATTCGACAAACACAAAATCATCATATATAATTCCGTTCATTTTTATATACTTTCTATTACTATAATTTTTATATTAAAGTCTAGTTAAAATAGAGTAAATAAATTCCCTATAACGTACAAGTCTCGACTTTAGGCATATAGATTTCGCGGCAAGGCTTTACTACTTATAGAGAGGTTAAGCTACAATTGTTATTATCTTAAGTAATATTTCAAATACTATTGTATAGAATTTCTGTACATAGCTATACATAATTAAATTCTAAATGAGTCGGAAAATTTTATTGAAATTGACAATATTATCGATACTGAGGCCGAATGTATAGTTTTTGTCTGTCTGTGACCGCATCACGGAAAAACCACTGGAAGGATGTTGATAATGTTTGGTATGATGATAGATGGTTATCCGAGTCAACATATAGGATGCTTTTTATGGCAGGAAAATATCTCATCTCTGAGAAACCTATACTAAACGTTAAATTAAACTTAATACAATCGAAAAGCATAAAACGGAGAAGAATAAGAGGCTCGAGAAAACTCGAAAATCAAAAGTGACATTGAAACTAGGTTCCTCACAGTTCAGCAATATGTTGACACATTAATTATAATATGAAAAGATAAGAAATAGCTATTAAAATGTTGCACACATGCGTAATACACTGCAGAGGTAAGGTGAAGGTTAAAACCTCCTGCTTCGGTTACAATTTACAGTGTCGAACGTAACTTATATATAGCATGGCCAATATATTACGGTCATTATATAATATAGATATTGTGCGTATTTTCAATGTTTAATAGTTATAAAATAAAGATAGATCATATATAAACATCAACAAATAAAATTGATCTAACAAAAATGAATAAATTTAATTATATTATGGTTAAACTAGCGACTCACCCTCGCTCCGCTTGGGTTCGTCGTCGTTACTACTTACGTTTTCACATTTAGTATAGATTTCTCAGAGGTGAGATATTTTCCCGCAGTAAAAAGTATCCTATATGTTGGCCCAGATTATCAGCTATCATAATATCAACTTTCATCAAAATCGATCCAGTGATTTTTTCGTGATGAGTTCCCTTATAGACAGACAGACAAAAATTCTAAAAACTATAGATTCGGCTTTTGTATCAATAACAATGACTATTTCAATAAGATTTTCCAAAAGATATTTAATGTACAGACTTCACTCTGTATTTTATTATGTATGTATAATATACATTATTAAAAAAATGTAAGATTTTAATATAATACTAAAGGGAAATAAATTATAGTCGCTAAGAGTTTAGTTATGAGAAATCACTTATTTAGAGTAAAGCTCAAATAATAATCAGAAATTCCGACGTCCGGTCGGTCGACTGTACGCAAGAGACAGCTCATAGAGTATGAATCACCCATCCGGTTATTTTGTATGGTGGATCGAAACCGCTTCTCATTTAAAATGAATTCTGCTATTGTTTTATCAAGATTAATCAGAAAAAAATCGCTCTACCTATTTCTAAAAAGTGGTTTCACCTAGTATAATAACATTTCAATACCGTTAAATCGATTTACTTGTTTACCTTTGCATCATATTTGCACAAGTGTTTATGTGCTTATAAATTAAAGATTTTTAATTCAGAAAGAATGATAATCCGAAGTTGGCATATTTAGAATTATTTAATAACAACAAGTGGAAAACAATTAGAAATCGTGTCACGAAAATATTTTTGTTGTCAGAATTCAGACAAAATATGTACATACATATTAAATCGATATTTTATAGGATTAATAATAACTCACCTCAATAGTTTTTAAATTAATTTACAATTGTCAAATTTTGTATTAAAAAAATCAAAAGTTTTAAAGAAAAAGATGTACAAGAAATGCTAGTACCTAGTATGTATTTGACGAGTCACGATTAAGTAGTATCATCAGTGAGCAATGAGCATACTGCACGATGCGATCAGGCGTGACGCACCGCGACCGTGACGGGACCTAGGCCAAACGTCCTCGGCTTCGGCCAACCATATCGTTATTTATAGTATGGATAACAATTTTCACTATAATACTTCTTTCTCTATTTAATATTACTCATAATTACTTTCGGATTTTCTTACCTTAAGTTTATCGATGTTTTTTTCAATCTTAGCCAATAAATATTTTTAAATTTACAACTATTTACAGATATACTATTAAATAGACTATTTAAGATAAAAAAAAATATCTGATTTGCAATGCAAATCGTTTGAATAAAATCCAACAACATTTCGTATGCGTCTAAAATATTTTGTAAGTAACGGTACCAATATCCTTCTCATATTATGAAAATACATTTATTAGGTCTTTAACCTAAGATCGGTTTAAGATTTCGCTATTTTAGTAAAATACCGAAATCTCCTTTATAATAATTTGTTTATAAAACAATAAAAGCGTAAAACTTTTATAGATTAATTATTTCGGTCAATAAAAACGAACCTAATAAAATATTTCTTAATTTGATTCGGACTAATTTTGTAATTGATTTCTCTTACTATAACAAATGCCTAGCAAGAGAGTTGTATTATGCGAAAAATATTATTAACCAAAACGTTATAATCGACCCAGTTAGTGATTGTAATTAATGGCGAACAGGGTCACAGACGTTTTGGCGAGGTGATCGACCCCACTGTATCGCGACAATCATTCCGGTTAGGATATAATCAGTACGTATACATACATACATGTGTATTGTGATGCAGTGTAACTAGAGCGAGAATCTGTTTTTTCATTAACAATCACCTTTAGTGTAATTATAATTTATGCCCTTATTACATTTACTCTACTTTCGCGTAGATATAGTTTTATCTAGCTTTAAATAGATTAGCCGTAATAATAGTATAATTTTGATTACAATTGCTATTTTTACGAGGTATCATAGACATTTATGATTATAAGTATGAGATTTCATAATTGTTATTTTATCTTAATCCGCAAAAATATTTTTAGGATATTAATACTTAGCAGTGGCCGAAGGGTGAAATTTTAGGAGAGGTAAGCCGTTCCAAAAATATACAATTTTTATATACGTATTAATAATTTTAATAGTAATCAAGTTTGGTGACACAAAATAAAACGTTAGCTTTTATTTAAGACTAAGAAACAAAATTCTCCCACAGAACACCAATATAGTAATTCAAGATTAATGAGCTCACATGCCTAACGGTGAACTTGCTCATAGGCTAATAGCACGCCCCGCTATCTTTACTAAGTTATATGTATATTGTATTGTAGGTATTACGAAAATAATGCACACAAAAATGCAAATAATATAATTTCCTTATAGATTGACTTGTAATTATATTATCATTATAAAATTATAAGATCCAAACCAACACTCAATAGCTACAGCCTACAGCAGGTGAATAAACTTTTGATGATTAAAGTTCTTTATTTACCCATTATCAAATGTCATATTGCCTTATAAATTCTAGAATGTAGACCTGAGTTTAAATCTAGTATATTGATTTATGAATTATGTATTTAATATTTATATGTGAATAATTGATATGTAAAAATATATTATGATTGCGTATATAAATAATTAAATATTTTATAATAGCTAAAAATAACTATTTAAACAAGTACTGCAGATTTTGACCTGCGGACCTTCTAAATTACACATAACAGTAAAAGATTAGCGTAAAGCACCATTTCGAGGCAAGAAACTCTCTTCAAGTAAATGGCGTTTTAGCATTATGACGTGTTATTCAATTACTCGTGCAGAAATTTTATACAAATATTACTTTATAAATTATATGTTTTAAAACCTTTATATTAAAATTAAAACCTTTTTACAGCTTTGGCAGAAGTCATTAAATAAGTGCTTTTGAATGAAAATTAATTAAAAAAAAGATAAATACTTAAGTTTTTATAATAAATATTATTGCCATAAAAAGGATTTTGTAAACATCACAGTTAGTTGTAATTGTAAAATTGTAAAATTAAATAATTGTGAATATGTAATGAGACTGCTTGAGAAAATGATTATTACGTGTGAACTCATTTCCATAACCCACTAATTTTAAATGTTAATATGAACACTAAGGGTCACTTGCACCAAAATTCTTAATTTGATTTTAATGTCACTGTTAAGCAAACGGCAAACAGCAAGATTAGACGTTTAAGACATTTAACCAAATCAAGTACATATTCGATGCAAGTAGCCCTAAGATTCGTTACAAGTTTACAAAATCCGCAATATAATATTAGTATATTACGAAATATCTGTATAAGATGTAATTTCCAAGTGAAGCATTAAATACGGATTTTGTAAACATCACAGTTAGTTGCTAACAAAAACTAATCTAGATCATTTTTTGATTTGTTACGAATGCATAACTAGAGCAGTTTCGCTTAGCAGTAGGAAGTCAGTTAACGTAATAGACACCGAGCAACACAAGTCAAGCGTGTCGTCTACCGTGCTATCGGAAATCGTTCGATCAACTTATTATCTAATAATAATATAATTTTGTATCAAAGTTACCTTAGTAACTAACTTCCTATCGCATTTTAGAATTAATCTTAAGCATATTATGGCAAATGAAAATCGCATTGAAGCAGGACAAAATGATTATATTCTAATATTAAAATCTCTACTTCCTACTTCCCGAATCGCGTTACGAATAGTGATGGCCCCTTAAACAACTTGAATATCATTCATTATTTAAATAAATGTACGATTAAAGATTCATTTGAACAGAGATGTCGAAAGATAACAAAATTATGATTGAAATGGCTACCTCAGCCAGTCAGTTTGAAAGACCATTCACTGTTTCATTGGTTAATAATAGAGGTTAGAATGGGAAAATAGAGCGGTATATAAGAAAATTAGATTCATTAATAGCCCACCACCCAATAGTAACTTTGGTAAAACTCACCGTCACAGGTAGCGGCCATGAATTTTCCATTAGCAGAGAAATCCATAAGAAGAACAGTTCCGGGGTGCCCCTTGAGACTCTTTAACAGCCAAGGGTGGCTGAATTCCGTTTTTCCTTTCCATGTTGTTCGTTTCTTACTTTTAACGTTAGCCCGAGACTCGGAGACAGCGGAGTTAGGTACTGCATCGGCGGATGTTTCTGAAACATTTAGATATAATATTGAGAATTTAAGAAAACGAAAGGATCATTTCTCTTAAATATTGTTGCTTTTCTCTTAAAATAAAAGATAAAATACATATATACTTTAAATATTAAAAGTTAAGCTTCGTGTGTATACTGTAGGCTATAGAGCCTCTAAATATATCTACTAGCGACTCACCCTCGCTTGAGGTAGTTTGTGAACTTGAGTTTGTGACGTTGTAGGGGGTATATCTGTATCTAATGAACTGATTTAGATGAAATTTGGTAAGAAGATACTTTTAGACCCTGGAAAGGATATAGGATACGTTTTATCCCGGAAATCATCCCTTTAAGGGGGTGAAAATGGGGATGAAAATTTGTATGGGGAATCAAGCTAGGGACGAACCCGAGCGAACCTATCCCCAGTAATATTTATAAGTAAACAGTACTAAATATAACTACAGAGCAGCCTACTTAGATAATAAAAAGTTACACTATCAGTTATGTACATAATCAAATTGAATTTAACACGCAATTTCATTTACGCCTATCAAAATCATAAGAAGTAATAATGATTATATATTAAACTATAACGAACATTGATAGCCAATAAAACATTCGTAGGATACATCGATTTATTTTAAAATTACGTTTTATGTTTATAAATTAAATTATAATAAAGATATTAAGTACAATTTACAAACTAACATTTTATATAATATAGACTACTGTTTAACAATAATACCGTGAAAAGTGATAACAAAGTAACGTAATACGAGTATTACGTGATTCTTACAGGTACCTACCTACCTAATCGCATTGGTATTCGTAATATTATGAATTATTTCCCTTCCGTTATTTACTTATCTTCATATTACAACGTGCTCAATTTTTATATGTTATTGTTATTGTAAACATACAGAGCTACAACATGGCCAAATAGAATACCTTTCCCCTTTTGTATGTGTTTGTTACTTCTTGTTATTTCAATTTTACTTTCACTTCACTACCGTTAACTTATCTGCTGAGTCGACTTTGCAATAAGATGTTAAATAAAGTACGAATTAGAAAGAAATCTTTAACGCAAATCTATAAATATGGTGAACTTAAATTGCTTTAGTTCTGACTATAACAAAATCTATACAGATATATAAAATTGAAGTGTCTTTGGATGGATGGATGGATGTATATTACTCTTTCACGCCAGAACGGCTGAACGAATCTGGATGAAATTTGGCACAGAGATAGATTATAGTCTAGAAAGGTTGCTTTTTATCCCGGAAAAATGTACGATTCTCATAGGATAGATTTATTTTTGTCTAAGGACAAACCCAATGCAAAACGAGTAGCTAGTCTGTACATCTATACAGATAAATAAAATTGAAGTGTCTGTTTGTAATTACAAAATAACAGCTTTTTACTAAATGCATATAGAATTATATACGTTTCTTATAAGGAAAACACAATTGTTTAAATTTTTGTATATCTGTCTGTCTGTTTGTTCTGTCTAATCTCCGAAACGGCTGGACTGATTTTGACAGGACTTTCACTGGCAAATAGTTGATGTTATAGGAGTAACTTCTAAATTAAAATAAGGATTAGGGTCCCGTTCAGAAAAATAAAAACGTACCTAGAGACGCACCCGAGCGAAGCGAGGGTAAGTCGCTAGTGTTAAATAAGTAGCTAACTGAAAGCTCTATCAGATTCAAATATAATCGAATAAATCAATTTTGTTATTTACATTACTTATTCATGATTTTGTTTCTACAAATGTTATTTATTGCTATCCTTTTAATTTCTATATCAGACTTAGGTAGACTTTTTTACGTAAATTAGCGCTAATTTAATAAAAAATATATTTTATTGAATATTCTTTTGGGTGTAAAGTTTAAAGATGCCATCGTCTGCATCTGCTGTTGCATTAACTAAGTACACACTTGCACACTATGTAAAATATGGCATTAAAGAAATTCCAATAACTTAGTTGCTATTTGTTCAATTGGCTGATCCTATATTTAAAAAATCCAAATATTTAAAAAAGTTTTTTTTTTGTTTAAATAAATACAACATTCAATATTTCATAATAACAGTTCAAACTTTAAGTTTTCTTTAATATTTATTCTATATATCTTACTGTACTTCTCATCAAAAATTATTAAATAAAGAGTACCTAATTATTTTATGTAAGTATATAAAGTATTTTATGAAATCTTATGTCGTAGTATTTATCACATGTGAATTTCCGCCGCCAGTCATACACGAGGTCGGATTTTATGCGCCAAAACCTTTGACAATTTGTATTTATAAAATTTTAAAATACAATTGTTCAATGAAAACTAAAGCAGAATAAGAAGCTTAGAGACTAATTATATTAATACAAATATTCTAATTCTACCTGTTACGCTCTCCGCTTCATGATTTTGTACTTCGCTTTTCTTATTCCCGAAGATGGTCTTGTAAATAAAGTGTAATATTACACACAAGATTACGGTGATTCCGGCCAACATATAAGCATTAATTTTCTGACCGGCCTCCGTGTATCCCATTTTCACTGAAAGATCTTTTAACACCGATTTTTATAAAGTTTTAAATAGCGACAATAGCAGTCACGCGGTAAGAAATTAACTGAACTGACGTGATTGATTGACTGAAGTTGAACAGTGAACCGAAGGACTGAATTGATTTGATTGAATGAAAGCAAATACTGCTCGCTAGTTGCTTCACGTTTGTCACGTTCTCGTATTGTACATCGAACTCGCGGCTCGCGCCAAATGACATTACGATCCAATTCACGCAGTTATTGTTATTGATCTATATATAAAAAATAAATGTTATTAATTAATAGTAAATCACAAAATGTACTTTGTAAAATAATATAATTATTAGCTATATATTAAACATTTAAAAAAACATTTACATATTATTTCAACACATAATAAAATATTTATGTATAACTGTTGTTTTGTTAATAGCTCTACACGTTTTAACAATAATAATATTATTTAAAAAATGTAGTTCGGAGTAATGTAAAGGTATCTTTATTTTAAATAAAAATTATTATTGGCTGGTTACAAAAAATTTAAACAAAAAGCTATTGAAAAATAGCCTTTGACATATAATTAATTACATTGTGTATCAAAATTATAGGTAATGAAGAGCCATGAATAAATTAAAATAAATTCCATAATATGCCAGCCCGTAAAAACAGGTAACTTTAATTAGAGAATTAAATTATTAAATGTGCCAGACTAAATAATTTAAACGAATAATGATCAACGACAGATAATGTACAAGTCGAGGTATATAATATGATTAATATTTTACATTGTAGTGACAGACGACAGTAATTTTCATTCAATTTTTTGTATTACAAGCGCCTTTGATTTCTTTCTATTTCTTTATCAGACAAGGACAAAAGATTCTAAATTTAAATTTTCTGAAGTTTTCTAGAATACTCGAACGAAGTTCATTGATATATATGTCACTGTCATCATAATGCGAACGATCAATTCACAATTGTTCAATTGAAGTTCGCGACCTCAACGACGTTGAACGTTGTTTTCTGCTTAGAAAATTTGCAAACGCGTTTAAGTGTTTTTTATTTAATTTAAAATGCCTCGACGAGGACGATCAGCAAGCCCACCTCCTGCGCCACAGCGAAGGTAAAACAACTGCATTTAATTATTCTATATTGAAATTTAATTCGTTTATAGCGTGACATAACCTAATGGAAATAATTTTCAGAGCTGCGCCACCACGCAGCAATGTACCAGCTCACGCTCCTCCTTCAACCCCGGCTCCGGTTACTGCTCAACCTCAACAACCATCTCTATTTGGGCAAATGGCAGCAACTGCTGGAGGAGTAGCCGTAGGATCTGCTGTGGTACGTTTCATTGTTACATAACATAACATTTATATTTTTTGTAATTCACATGTAAATTCTGTTGTTTCTTCACATCCATAGAAAACTTATTGCGCAATATATAAGTAAGATTTCTAGAAAATTGATTATATTTACTAATATTCTTTGTTTGGCGATAATCCAATAATTGACACACGTATTGTTGATAATGTCTTGATAGTCATTATGGGAAGTGTAAATATATTTGTGCAATATTTTCAATGAATATTATTAACTTTAATTTTAAATTCGTTAAAAAATAAATTATAATAATAATTACATAGTATAAGATGAATGTTCAAACTTAGTATTTTATATTAATTTTAATACCTACATAAAGTAAACAGATTTCCATTTCTGTTTTTGCAAAGAGACAAAGGATGACACATGTTTTATTCTTTAGTATCTTGATGCTAGTAGTAGTGTGTAAACTTCATTAAAATATATTCAAGAATTACTCTTCTTTCAATGGATTATTACATTTAGATAATATATAGATTAAGTGATATTCAAAATATGAAAAGTTAGCACTGTAAATAGTCTTGCTTTTTCTGGAATATGAAGTGTTTTGGTAACTTGACCACAGCTTAATCTATTGGGTTCAAATTAAGTCAATTGGTATTTGGCATTAAACCAATATATATTTAGAACATGATTAATAGTCTAATTTTATATTTAAGTCCATAAATAAAGAATTTATTAATAATGTCATTGTGGTACCTTCTATGGCTCTCAGCATAGATTTGTATTCTGTAACTATTGTTTCAACAAAGCAAATACTATCTAAATTGGTCTATTATTATTCATTCAGAAGATATACTGCACTACTAGTAGGTCTCAATCTAATGCTATGAATATAAAAATAGATTAGCATTTTCTATCTAAGGGACAGTGAACCTTATAAAAAGAAGTTAAATATGTAATATTATGGTTAAATATAAAATAATTCTTTACACTAAATCTAGGATAAAGTTGTAGGCACAGATATGTTTACTTTTTATTTGTAATTATAAACCCCAATAAAATAATAATCTATACATATAAAAAGTTTTATACTTGTATTTATGAAAAGGCCAGTAGCATAATTTATATAATTAAAGTAAAATTTTCTATTGTTTTAGGGTCATGTGGCGGGAAGTGCTCTAACTGGAATGTTCAGTGGAGGTGGTAGCAGTGAACCAGCATCACAGCAAGCCACAGCGCCACCTGCGCAATCTGCCTACAACCAAGGACAGCAGCCTCAAGGACCTTGTGCATGGGAAATCAAGCAGTTCATAGAATGTGCACAGCAACAACATGATCTCTCGCTATGTGAAGGCTTCAATGAGGCTCTGCGTCAATGCAAAGTCAATAACCATATCTAAAAATAAAGGGGTCCCATCTTTATTCCAAATTGATTATTTTTATATTACCTAATTCATTTTGCTGCTTTTGTAAGAGCTGTGCCAACAATTTTATTTCCTTTAAAGGTTACCTCAAAATCCAGTGGTGTCATTTAAAGAACATGAGGCAATTCCCTAGTTATTTTTTAACTTTGTTGAAATATTTATAGTTACATTTGTAGTAAATTATAGCTTTATTTTTATTAAACGACGTAAATAATGTAGATCATTATTAATTCAATTTATTTTACTTGTTTGTTAGTGAGACATTTTAATTATAAATAAATAGATAGAAAACCAAATGTAGTTTTATTTTTATTTTTTAACACCACAACTATACATATTTTATAGTCAATTTAATGACGCACTAATATAAAAACCTCTTTTTTTAATTACTGGTTGAATGAAATATTATGATAAAAAGTAAACAAATTTATTTTCAAACTTAAATTTATTAATGAAAAAAATATTGTTATTTAATATTTTGTTATGTAAAATGTGTAACTGTAATAAAGGGTATAAATAATATACTTTTTTTTAGGTTGAACTCGATAGTTCATTAGCGTTAAGAAAATAGTCATCGGTGTCCACCGGCCTAGCCACGCCCCCTATCAATTAGGTTGCAGACCTAAATATATTATTAATGACTTCATTTTGATTGGAGATAATTATGTTGATTAATTATCTCAAATCAAAATAAAGTCATTATCATCTCAAATCTAGATTTGAGATAAGTTGATTTTTTCCACTAAACTTAGTCTTTTGAAATATTGAATTTGAATTGAATTTTTATTCCAATTTGACTATACATATATATACAACAAACCAACTAAGAGACTATATAAAATATTCCTGTTTTGTAGGATGCGTCTGTAGAATGAGAAACTCAAGTTTTATTTCAAATATATGAGAAAATGAGGCGTTCTATTTTAAAACCACACAATATAAAAAAAGATTTTCCAAAAATTATAAATTATTTGCTATTGATATATTTTGGAACCTAGTAGCCCTATTTAAAAACTCCAATAGGATCCCATCAAAAGCGACAAAAGCCACATAGAAACCAATAAATATTTCTTGGTTTCTATGTGGCTTTTGTCGCTTCTGATGGGATCCTATTGGAGTTTTTCAACAGGAAGTACATACTATGATATGTTATATTTAATTTAATGTTATCAATTATTCCATTGAACAAAAAGTTGTTGCTTGTTGTACTATTAAATATTTATGTTACGGATTCTAAAGTGTAAAAAGTTCATTTGTTCTCCTCTTCAACGGCGACAGATGAACTGATATTTTAATATATGCACTTGAATAACTATGCAATGGTAGCCTAGAGGTAAGAGATAACGCGCGCGCTTGGGACACCCAGTGAAGCGGGTTCAAATCCCGGGTCTTGCACCTCTGATATTTTCATTTCTAACATGATTACCACTTGCCTTACGGTGAAGGAAAACCTGCATTTCTGACTGTCAGGACTATGGCCTGATCCCCCTCGTATTGAAGGATGGCCCACTCCCAGCACTGGGACGTTAAAAAGGGCTGAATACAAACATGCATAACTAAAAACATACTATATAAAATTTAGCCTGTTCATAATTCTCATGAACTGCTTGATTGATTTTGATCCAATTTTTGTATATATAGACTACGGGATCACTCCCGGCTCTTAGCAGGTGGGACCCGGTAGATAACGGTGTGATCGAGATCTAGAATTTTTTAAATAACACAAATGAAATTGCATTTTGGACGACTCTCAGGGCATATATTACATATTGTGTATTATTTAGATAGGATATCTATCAGTTTGTTCGGAAAACTATTTGCTAGTTATTAAAATAATAGTTTGGCCTACAGCCCTAGTCGCGGCGCAAGTCGGTCACGATACTCTCGAGCAGACCAGCATGCCCCGGCGCACCCGCCGACCATTGTGGTGACGCCCATGCCGCGGCGGTCCATGTTCAGAGATGCTGCGGCGGTGGCGGGCGGAGTTACTGTTGGTACAACTATGGTGTGTGGAATATGTTTAATATTTATATTCAATTAAACAAAACAAGAAACATCAAAATTCAAACGGCTATAAGACACCCTGATTTAGTTTATGTTTGAGTTGATAATAATGAAAAAGTTATTTTTTACATTTTTGCGTACGAAATAAAAAATAATCTGTAATTGCTTAATCAGGGTCATATCGCGGGGGAAGCTATAACCAGTCTATTTACTGGGCCTCGGAGACAGGAGGTGGAGCAAGCACTACCAAGAAATTATCAGTTGGGTTCAGAACCCACCGGACCCTGCGCCTATGAGATAGCTCAGTTCCTGCAATGCGCTACCAGTCGCGATAATCTACAGGAGTGTGAAGCTTTTAACGAGGCGCTTAGAGAATGCAAACGTCGAAATCGTACGCATTTATAAATTATAGTGATTTACGTAACGTATAATAATATATGTAGATGTATTATTTTTATTTTATATCACATTTTCTTATTTTTTTCAGGTTTACCATAATTCATAGATAAATTCCAAACAAGCAAAAAAAGTAAAATAAATGTATAAACTTAACGTATTTTTTATTTTTTATAATATGTATTCAGTAGTTGGGGAATGGAAATCAAATTTAAATTTATTAGTTTTTTTATTGCCCAATTTAAATTAAATACATGTTAATTATGGATTTTAGTAATAATTATGCTTTGTTCAGTTGGATCTCAAAAATAAAACACTATATACAGGTGTATACATATAAACTTAAAATTTATTTTCACCATAATACATAAAATGTGACGTTTCTCAGTGTAAAGAACCATTTATAAACTAAACAAAATTGAGGTTTCGTGTTACAAAATTCGAGATAGTTTCTTTTTGAGTTTAGATCAGAATCATAATTACATTATTTTGATGAAATAAATAACAATGAATTTTCGTAATATTAAACAAAATATATTTATATTATAGTAATAATTCTCTATACAATCTTTCGGTAATTTACATTTTGGCACGTTTTTTAAATCTGTAAATACAATTTGAGAGACCAAATTCAGTTCTTACAAAGCCATCAACTAATTGAATGTATCTTTGGATTATATGATCGATATTGTGCTTTACTGACCAAGAACGAAACAGTATAACAACTAACAAACAGCAATAAAATTGTGACAGTATCAAATTTTTCTATTGAATGAAACTTGAAAACGTTTTAACTTTGAGAACAAATCGTATTTCGCAAGCCTAAGCCAAACTTAACAAGAATCACTTTGTGACAGAACCTTTCCATTTTGTGCAACATTAAATATTAACATCGGATATTTTCAAAATCGTGTAAGAGATTATAACAATCAATTTATGAAGGAAATTGTATTAGATCGAAATGTGGTACATTCGTATTAAGGTTTTACATTCAACTAATAATACGTTTTAACGCTTAAGCTAAATCAGTCTAATTCTTAAAGCGACATAATTAAGTCTAACAATAAAGCTTAAACGAATGCCGTAATCACACACTGGAAAATTACAAAATAAGGCCACTAGGTTTCTTTATTATAAGGTTAAATCAATTAACCAGTCGAAAAAATAAAGTACATTAGCGAAATTATGATTAATTTATACAATTATTTTTAACAATTATATTTAACGAAATTAATCTATGTTAATATGGCGGTTTACTATAAACATACAATGCCAACGTAAATCATTTACAGATAGATAATATACTATGGAATTTTCATGGTGATTAGGAATTCAATTGTGACACGTGTTCTGCAAGCTCATGCCAAACAACTATAATTAGCAAAAATGCTTTCGATATGGTAAATGTTAACATGAATATAAATGATCACAAAAATCATGCACCTGCGCGTAATATGCTATACAAAGTATAAACTATTGTAAATACGAGCGCAACGGCAAAAATACCCACAATCCAAAAATAATTTAAAGCTTATCACATCAATTGCGCGTGTAAAAATTGTCAAACTCCATACTTGAGTCCAGTACAAAAACGGATCGACGCATAAAAATAAGGCATCTAGGATTAATAACGTTTAGTGAAACTATATTTTAATATTATAATGACATTTACATAATTACAGGTGCTCTAGTTATTTACACTATTTGTAATACGAACACGTAAGCACTTGGATCGTCTCGATCCCAACGTTATAATACACATTGTAGTGTTGCCAGCAATAATAACAGTAAAAGAACATAAAAAAGACTAAGGGTAACGTATGTAAGGCTTTTGTCGAGTGTCGAAAAAAAACATTCTGTCGTCTTATACAAAAAAAAGGTATGGACGGCGTTACACGCGATTATGCGATCTAATGTATCTAGCACGTTGGCAACACTGCAACACGCACACAAATATATATATATATATATATATATATATATATATATGTATATCTACATGCGCATTTCCCACAGTATCAAGTGAGCATCCTTGGGATTGGGGTCGGCGGCGGGAGCGGGGCGCTCCGCCGCGTCGGCCGTCTGCCGCCAGTCCACGTACCCGCGCCCGCCCACCACCGTCACCACGGACCGGCGGGCCATACTCTCTCCCACTATATAATCAGCCCCGCGGAGACTACGCGCCGCACTTTTGTTACGCAGTTCTACATTCGCGGAATCACTCCTGGATATCGACCGATCGGAGGCACTGGACTTGCTCGATGACGAGTCTGGGGTCGAGGCCGCCATCGGTGCTAAGTTGGCCGCGCCGGACGCACCTGAACTGGTCCGTGAGACTCCTCGCAGTGCCATCGATTCTTCACTGCCGGATGACGTGCAGAGACTTGAGGCTCGGGAATCTACCGACCAGCTGGATAAGTCTAAGCTCCTTGGCCGACCAGCTCTCATGCGTAACCGCCGATCTAAAGTGCTCACTCGGAACGGTATCGCTGCTAGTTCGGGATCACTCCGCCTGAGGGATTCCCCGCCGGAGCCACTCACATCGGCCTCCCCGACACAGTCTTTAACAAACATGAGATCTCCGTACAGTCCGTACACATCGCACGCGTTCAGATTGGCACACTTTGGTAAAGTTTTACTTAACCGCACGTCACCCGGTTTCTTCCTTCTAATCACCGCAGACTGTACACGCTGTGGCCGGTACGGACTCAGCTCCTCTGATATCCTTCTTTCTAACTTCTGTTTGTCGTTTTCTTCTTTAGCTTCTTCTTTGAACTCCTGTACAGTTTCCGCTAACGCGCGAGCGTTGGACAGATTCCTTCTCACCACGTTAACGTCAACTTCCCTACCTTCTGGAGTTAGTGAGAGGAGGAAAGTAACAGGGCCGGCGTGCGCGTGGTAGGATACAGCTATGTGGCCACCGATGAGGGGTAGACCCTCCAGCTTAGGCAAGGGCACCGTCACACTCACCCCCGCAGTGGTGCCAACCCACAAAAGCCCCTGTCCCGCGAGCAACGCCGATACATACGCCGGCTTACTGCCTTCTCTAGCGCCTATAGTTTTCGCCACATCTGCGGCGATGTCAATATTCTGCAAGTGTTCGAACGTTTCAGCGTGGTACAAGCTGACGTATGTCGAGTCTGAGAAGGCGGCCCATAGACCAACGCCCGAGTGCGCTAGATATTTGACTGAACGATCTCCTTCGCCTTTCAGTTCAAGTATGCGCATAATTTCCGCAGTGAGAGCGTTGATGGCGAACACTCGCCTCGCGCACGTTGCGTATATGATGCCATCGACGGGTAGAATGCAGTGAACGGGTTTATCGCCGAGCTCGATCGCTAGAGGCTCCTGTAGAGCCCACGAATCGTCATGATTTCTCCTGAACACTGATACCCTGCCATTGGAAAGTCCCACAAACATAGAGTCACAATGGTACTTAATCTGTGTGACGGAGGCCACCATAGTCACTTCAGTCAATTTCTCTTGCTTTTCGGGCTCTACACCCGAGAAAATGATGATTTTCTTGTCTTCAGTGCCGAGCCACACTGTGTCGCCGCACAGCGTGGTCACTTGTCTTAGTCCTTTCGCATATTCCATCGACGTTACCTGCAGCAATAAATACTATTTTGAGCAATTGTTCAAATTAATGTAACAAATATATTGTGATTTTTAGCTCAAAAATATAATCAATTAAGGGTGTAGAATAAAGGTGATTTTTTTTTCAATCCTAAATAGTACATAATAGGAAAATACATTGCATTATTGAAAAATTATATTATCTATTATTGTTCATAACCATATATCCACAGGTATTTCCTATAATAGTCAAATGACATGTGAACCTTCAATAGACGACTACTAACCATCAAACAGGTGATTCTTTAAGTTTGTTCAGGTATTATTATTCACTATAATTACCCAAGTACTAATCTTAGTGGGGAAGTGGGCGAAGGTCATCATTTTTTTGGGACATTAACACACAGCACTATCTAGTTCCATGGCAAGCTACGAGGCTTGTGTTATAAGATGGATACCAGATAGTTGATACACTACATAATATATATAACTTTAAATAAGTACATAAACATATCATAAATATAAAACACCCATGACTGTACTACAAACATTGGTGCACATCACACAAATGAATGCCCCTAGCGGGACATGAATCCGCGACCGCTGGCACAGCAAGTAGGGTCACTACAAACTGAAGCAAACGTGTGGTCAAACCTTACCTTAGTGTCGGGCAGATCCAGTGTGACGAGAGTCTTGAGCTTGGCGGCGCGGTGCGTGAGCACGGCCACGTGGGAGCCGGCGCTGCCGCCCGCGCACAGCCACAACAGCGAGCGCGCGCGCCGCATGGACGCGCCGCGCGGGCTGCCCGACGACGTGTAGAAACACCCGCAACGCACCTACGTAATATAACACATGGATGTTGTTTATTATTTTTTACTGGTAAGAGAATATTTTATTTAAAACTATTATAGCAATTAACATTAAATATATAATAATATTCAATTATAAAACTTATGGAAATTATGTATAAAAATTAACAAATATTGTTTACCACTATAACAATTTATATGGTGTCATTTTTGTTATTAAAATCTTTGTAAATATATTTTTTTTATTGACCTTTGAGACATCTAAAACCTTAAGTCTCTCCCATGATCATGATTTCAAATATAAAGCATTCGAAACTCCGGGAACCGAAAATCAAAATAAATCCGCGAAAATATCCGAAAGGACAGTTTTATTTAAAATTTTGAATACTCCATTAAATCTAAGAAAGGAAATATTTTGCTTAAAATGTTATTTATAATGCATATCGTTGTTTTCACAAGATTTCCACACCAATCACATACGACATCGACGAAGTAGCAAAAAACCAGCGGTCTATAATGTGACAGTCACGTGACAACCATTCTGTTAAAATTTGCGAGTCCTTAATGTGTCATATACACGGGATGTTTTTATGAAATGAGTCTCATTATTATAAAATTGTATGTACATTAGTATATAATATAGTTGTACTTATATATAATAATAGACTGATTTTTATTGTTTTTTTTTATATGTTTATTACTCCTTCACATTGAAATTGCTAGACTGATTTGGATGAAATTCAGTACACAGATAAAATCATAACCTGGATGGAGCATATGCGTTACACAGGAGTAACACATCTTATGTAGTACACTATTGGGTACCAAGGGAAGCACCCGACGGAAGGCTCATAAATAAAATCAGTAACATATATATTATATGAACTTAGAAATTGTGGCATTCTAAGTCGAAATTTTAGCAATTAAATCCTTTGTATTTTATTTTCCTTTCCTGAAATGCGAGTTATCGAGGTTCCACTGTAATACAAAAGACACCTAGGTACATACCTCAGTGAGATAGTTGGACGAGTACACGGGCGTGGCGGCCACGAAGAGCGGCATCTTGTGGGGCAGGGCGTGCGTGAGCGCGTGCGGCAGCGAGGCGGGCAGGCGCCAGGCGGGGCAGTTGGCGCGCGCCTGCGCCAGCTGCGCCAGCCGCAGCTCCGTGGCCCACGCGCGCCTCGCGCCGGGCTCGTTCGCCCTGAACGTCACCGCTTCCTCGCGACCGCGTATTGTTAGTTGCAGACAACAAGAGTCTACCCATGCCATTTCGTCGTCTTTTTTCTGGAATTATATTATTTATTATTAGTCTATTTTTTTTTATATTTTTATCATTAATTTAATTAAAAAAATAAAATTGTCATGCTATACAGATGATAATGTATTGAAAATTATTATAGTTAAAATTATTGTGTATATTCAAGAAATAAAGAAATAAACATAACAATTAACTATTTTTTTCGCTATAAAACATGTTTTTTTATTTCTTGAAAATAAATTATTAGTTAATCTTGTAGGTAGACATAGTCTGTAATCAGTGCAATGCCTCCGGTAATATTTGCTGTAAATCATGCAAAATATCGGAAATAAAAATCAAATTAAAAACCGTAACAAAATCTGAAAACATAAAGTTTTATTTAAAATAACAAATATGTATAGGCTAAATGTAAGAAAATTGCAGTGCCATCTCGTGTGTGCAAAGTGCAATTACAAATAACTAACAACCATAACTGATAATGAAAGGGTGTCATGTAATGTTTTCTACGCGACATTGGCAAAGTAAATGGTTCCCAAATGGCACTTATTTGGAGTACTATCACGTACCTGTATACTCTGCTGTATGGTCTGCAGCAGCGCGCGGAACACGTCGGGCGCGAGCTCGGGGACGGGCGCGCGCAGCGAGGCGGCCAGGTCGGCCATGCGCGACACAGTCTCGTAGTCGTGCATGAGCGCCGACATCTCGCCGCACAGCGAGTCTCCCGTGGACGTGCCGCTGCTGCTCGAGCGCAGGCTGCCGCTGCGGTTCATGCCTGCGAATTGCGAGTGTAAGGTTTCGCTATTTTAATCTATACTAATATTATAAAGGGGTAAGGTTTGTGAGGTTGTGAGTTTGTGACGTTGTCGAAGGTAATCTCTGTATCTACAGAACCGATTTAGATGAAATTTTGTAAGAAGATAGTTTGAGGCCCTGGGAAAGACATAAGATACTTTTTATCCCGGGAATCATCCCTTAAGGGGGTTGAAAATGGGGATGAAAGTCTGTATTGGCAAGCAAGCAAGTGTATAAACAGTCGTTAGTTGATTATACTGGCTAACTGACGACGCGAATGCACAAATTACAGATACCTGTATAAAATAGACAATTAAAAATCACGAACGGATAGGCCGAAAAAAACAAAAAATAAGAAAAAAATAAAAAGACGTTAAAATATATAAGTTTTGAAAAATGATGCTGGTTTTTCCTGAGATTTCCCACATGAATGAGACACGTGTACATTCATTTTATTTTCTTCTTTGCACACAAAGCACGATTGAGTATCCATCAACTTAATTCACAAATATCATCACACCGGTAGATTTTTAATACATATTTTGTTATCTTCCTAGAGAATTCCACTTTTAAAATTATTCAATTTGTGACAACTGTATGAGAATCCGTATAGTATCCTCAGTGAGTTTCGCCAGCAAAAAACACAAACTTTTAATTATATGTAATTATTTATATAAGAATAAAACCAGATAAGTAAAATGGATTTTACTATGCAGAATAAATTCAAAATATATGCATCACAACTATCTTAAACTAATGGATCAAATCGCGAATCAAACATTTAACATAACTAGTAAATTACCCTTTGTCACGTGCGTCCCTATTTGTCTATTGGTTATTCTACATACTTACACACACACACACGCACGCACGCACACATACAAATATTCACATTTACAACAAAACTCCGATAATCCAACAAACAAATCTATACAGCACACTAACCCTGAGCGAGCACCCGGCTGAGCGTGGGCGACGTGCCGGTGTCGAGCACCTCCACGTCCTGCACGGGGTGCGCCCACTTGAGGCCGAGGCGCTCGGTGTCGTCGCCGCCCGCGCCCACCGACACGCACACCACCAGGTCGTTGAGTAGCAACAGCCGACGCGGCTTGCACTTTGTTAGGGTACCCGATTGATTGAATTCCTGGAAAACAAGTAATATTGAAGCCATATTTGTATGTAAAATGATAAGTATTTGTATTTTTTTATTTTGAGATTTGTGTAATGCTAGTATTACTACCATATCTAAGGTAGTAACATTCTATTAAAAGTAAGTTTAAATGTGCGTATAGCATTTTTAAATACTTTCTTTTATTTACGAGATTATTTAACAATTTAATAAAACTATATTTTCAATTTTTTTTTACGATTTTGTTTTGATTATTATTATTATATTATCTCCAAAGTCATAATTACTACAGACGGTGTCTACTCACAAAAAATACAAATCAATTTATAAGTTCATTATATGAATTATTATATACTTTTATAGGTAGACACTATACGTATATTTAGACATCGTAGACCTGTGTAATAACTATAACCTTAGTCTCTCCCAAAACCTAAAACCTAAAAAATAGACCATTACAAATAACAATTCCAAAACATAAAACTCACAAGTTGCAACAAATCATCCTGTCTCAACAGATGTCGCTTGTCAGCGCGCGAGGCCAGCAGGCGCGCGGCCCCGAAGCGCGCCGCGCCGCCGCCGCCGCCCGCGCCCGCCACGCCGCCGCGCGTCAGCCGTCTGAGAGCCGCTCGGAACGCCTAAACATGACCAATATTATTATTATAACACATTTTTAGAGAAATATGAACTATATTATGGCCTAAGAGCAAAAAGAAATCGTGAAGATTTTATATTAATTGAAGTTGAAGTAAAAATTTTCGTTGCAAATTTCATTTCACAGTGTAACGGCAACTTATCCTTATTTTGCTCGGGTACGTCTCTACGTGTCAACTTTTATCTAAATCCGTCCAATTCAGCGTGAACGAGTAACAAACATACACACTCACGTACAAGCATTTTAAAACGTTAACGTTATTATTTTAATAAGTTAAAATGTGTAAATTGAATTAAGACCACCAGTCTCATGTCAAATACAAGAAAAAGTTGACCTCTCACGATGGAATAGTTATAATTAAGGTTATCTCGAAAATGGTATAAGTTTTTATTTGAAGTTAAAATGAACGAATATCTTTACCTGAGTCCTTTCAGCTTCACGTTTCCTCTCATTTAAGGCATCGGCGAGCGCCTCTAGTCTTGTCAGTGCGCGTTGTAGTGACACACGGTCTAAATGACCATGTGGAGTGTGTTTTAAGAGATCCTGTAACAATTATCAATATAATTATACTGTAATACAAATACTTGTTTTAATGTAAAACAAAAAACTTATTAAAAATCTATACTAATATTATAAAGAGGCAGAGTTTGTTTGTTAGTTTGAACGCGCTAATCTCAGGAACTACTAATCTGATTTGAAAAATTATTTTTGCATTAGATAGCCGGTTTATTGAGGAAGGCTATAGGCTATATATCATTTATTATATAGTTTATCTATTTTATACTAACTGTTAACACGTACCTAGAGACGAAGTCGAATGAAAATGAAAATGAGCACAAGAATAACATTATGGTTGTATTTCACCAAATAAGATAAGTTAAAAATGGGTCTTGTCAGAAATCAAAACACACCGGATGGCAAAAAATTGTGCAATTAATACAAATATTTGGCTAACAACTGAGGTAAATAAATTAATTACCTGTAAAAACATAATAAACTGTGGAAACCGTTGCACCGGTTTCACCATAAGGCCGAAGAAGGAGAGCCTGTCGTGTGCGCTGATTTGCTTCACTTTGAAGAAATCCGCCAATGCCGACTTTCGTTTAGATTCCATTTTTGCCAATTCCATGGCCACTGAGAAATTGTTTATGAAGTCCGAGTATACGTCCAACACCACTGCTTTGGAGAATGCGTTCAAAAAGACCTCGCCTGTAACATAAAGAAATATATAGTATATATTTCATTTTTAGTTTTAAAAACTGACTAATATATAAAATCCAACAGTAATTTGATTAATCCTTCTTTTATTTGAAAAAATAGACAATTTTTCTTGAATTGAGTCAATGGAACTGATAGTAACATAAGTAGTTTTTGTGGAATATTAATTGGTTTCTGTAGGATATAACACCTCGTGATCTTTACAACGTTTGCAATACGTTCTATGAATCCAAAGTCACATTGGTCTAAAAATTCGTTAAGTGGCATACCACCCTCAAATTTCTTTTTAGATTTTAAAACTTAATATACTTAATTATTTTAGTATGAAATTTATTATTTTTTAAAGTTAATTATAATCAGTACTTACCAATTTTTTCATCGCGGTCCCACGTTCGCGCACAATCCGCGAGCGCGGTGCGGAAGTGCAGATGACATTGCAGGATGTCGGGCAGTCGGTGGAATAGCGTCTGGATTTTACTTGCGTTTAAAATCGCGGGACTACTCTCTTCTAGAGGTTTCTTATAATCCTGGAGATAAAAATGTATTGTAAAGTTTGAGACAAGAACTGGTTTAAATTATCAAAGAGTATGTACTACATGCGTGTCACGATTATAATAATTAGCCTATGCCACTCTCACGGCAAATCTTCTGTTCCTAGGTAAATCTTGTTTAAATAGGTTTAGTCGTTTCGTAGTTTAGGAGATAAGTACAGACGAAAAAACAAAATTATTTTGGATTCTACTGCTGCCTTCATTTGCTGTTTAGGACTCATTCCCGTTCTGATAATAAACCATACGAGCTAAATATCGGGAAGCTATTTTGAAATCACAGACCTCACATTTATAAGTCTAGCAAGATAAGAAATAAGTTTTAAAAATATGTAACAATAATTTTATACATATATTATTTACAAAATCATAATAAGTCTAAAAAAGACTTTGTGGTCGTATTTTCCACAAAAATTTAAAATATCTATTAGTGTCTAATGCAAGAGATTTATATTTGCAACCTTGTCGCATAAATACGGAAATAAATTCTTATACCCCGTCTGAGTGCGTCATCACTTAGAATACTTAGCGTGTTTCTAGACTGTAAAAACATTAGCTCTTGACTTATACTTAGGATTTCTAATTTAAAAAAGTTATCAATCTTTTGACAAGCCAAAAAATAAGGAAATGTTTTTAATATAATAAACCTTGTGTTAATATGACTCTCCTTGTGTTAGAGGTTATCGATTCAGTACCCACTTGTAGCAAAACATATTAAGTGATAAAATATTTAATATTCTGTCACAAAGTGTAGGTGTAAAATAAATAAACAAATAATTATTATCCAGTTTTCTAATATAATTATAAAAAATAAATAGAAGCACTACGTAGATTGACTCGTAATAATGATTGCAAAAAGCAATATTTCATCTTTTTATAACGATAACAAAAAAAAGATTATTATTGTAGTAAAATGAATTCCACTTACAAGTAAATATTGCAGTTTCTTTATCCCTAGCGTAATAAACGGGCAATAATAAAGTGATCTTTCGTTATCTTTTTTACTTCTTGCCGCTTTCAGGATAGTCCCTCCTTACTGTCAAGATGACATGTTACCTAATCCTGACGCTGCGACATGGTTTTTTTAATCAGATCGAAACAAATATCAATGTATGATTCATACTTAAATATTTACATAGTGCTGGGATCGAACCTGTGAATTCTTACAGAGAGCCGACAGAAACAAAACTACACTATAAGTGTTTAATTATTATAAATTCTGTGTGCATCATAAAAGTTTAAAATATTTATACATAATACATAGAGGTGGTATACTATATGAATATCTATATATATAAAAGAAAGTCGTGTTAGTTACTTCGCTTATAACTCAAGAACGGCTGAACCGATTTAGCTGAAAATTGGCAGGGAGGTAGTTTAGAGCCAGGAGAAGGACATAGGATACTTTTTATCCCGTTCGACCGCGTTCCAATTTTTATGATATTTTAATTTTTGGATTTCTCTTAGTCCGGAATAGGTAAGTATTAAAACATATAATTAAAATGTGAGAAAGAAAGATTTTTTCTTTTTATATCTATTTAAAACGTACCTAGCGACGAACCCGAGCGAAGCGAGGGTGAGCCGCTAGTTTGTTATAAAACTATATAAGATATATACATTTAGGACTTTGAACTCGACAGTAATAACGTAAGCTTAATAAATTACGGCTTTGCAGTAAAATATCTTCTTATAAATCGTACGGATTTAATATTTCGCAGTTATATCTTCATAATGTTTTTGCCAGATTTAAGAGAACAAGTTTGTAGCAATACAACGTCATATAAACATTTATGAAGATGTTTTATTTTTTGTTCATTACACGAAATTAATTATGTTTAATTTTGCTAATAAAAACATTACGGATGTAAAATATGATATCAACGTTTGACTGATGATTTGCGAAAAAATGCTATGATCGCATTGAAATAGCATTTTACTACAGATTTCTATAGAAGCCATTAGGAAATACGAAGAGGTAAAGAATAACGATCTATTTTGGCCGTTTAGACAAACGGCGGACAGTATATAATATAAACAATAGGATTCAAGCGCCAGTTAAGGAGACTAACACGCGCCATTTAATATCATGGTGACCTCGGCCAGTCAACTTGTTAACAGAGCCTATTAAAACTGTCCCACTTCCTAATATGCAAATTCAAAACATGCAAATTGTAGGCGAACAATGCAAGTAGAACAGTCATATTTAAAACTTTTATTTACATATTTATGTAAAAAATTTGACAACTTACATATGTGTATATGGTATCACAAAGAAATTTTCAAAAATAAAAATGAAAGTTGCGCGTTGTTTCCGTTTCGAGAATTCCTTTATCCGTAAATATCCTATATTGGTAAAATGAAAGTTAAAAACTATATTCAAATAGAAAGTATTACAAATTTAAATATTAAAAGGTAATACAAATTAGTTTTTTTTTATCTTTAGATAGTTATAACAATTTTGATTTTCCATATATAATATAATAAAATTCTAACTCAACGGAATATGTACATTAAAATAAATATATTTTGGAAAATCTTATTGAAATAGTCTTTATTGTCGATACAGAGGCCGAATTTATGGTTTATAGAATTTTTATTAGTCTGTCTGTTTGGGAACGCATCACGAGAAAACCACTGGACAGATTTTCATGAAATTTGGTATGATGATAGCTTGTTATCCGGGTCAACATATAGGACACAGATAACAAGCTATCATGATGGATGGATATGAGAAATCTATATTAAGCGTTAAAATGCAACTAGAATGAACCCGAGCGGAGCGAGGATGAGTCGCTAGTATAACAATAAAGTAATGCAACAATTTATAGTAAGTAGATATATCAAATATTAAAAAAATATGCGAATTTCCTTTAAAATATACGAGAAATAAGTAAATTGTGAATTTATTATTATTTTATAAATAAAATATGAGCAAGATCATTGAGGGTCGACAGTGTCAGTGTTAGACAAATTTGTATTCAAATATCAATATACATATATATATATATATATATATATATATATATATATATATATGTAATTTAATTTTATCCTAGAAACTGTTCTTTAGCAGCCATAAACGATCCATAAAAGTCGTTATTATTCCATTAAACTGTGCACCTTTCACCCATTTACAAGAAATCGTCTCTTATGTACAATTGCGTAATGTTAATTCAGAAGTCAAATGGAATAGGCCTTTAACCGCTTACGGTTTTAGCGCAAGTAATCTCATTGAACAGTGTATTAACACTTCTGAGACATAGTTTTGCAACTGTCAACTGACGGCTTAATCAGGCTACCTGTCAAGCTCCACCTTCGTATGGTAATAGAAAGAGTGGTTTGAGCATTTGCACAGATTCACTAGATGGATTGCGTAATGTGAGCTAACATTCACGAGCATCAATTATAATTGCTATCAATTTCAATGTTTCCTCTTTCATCGAGAACGTCTTGCGAACATGAGAAATGTCAACATGTTTGTTAAATTTTAATGTCCAGTGGTCGGAGTACTTTCTCCTTTATTGTGAGCGATTGGAACTTCAGTGTACACTATAATTGAGTATACATATACAAAGCGGCGTGGGTTCCTCTTATTATTCATTTTATACTTGTCAATTAAAATCGATTACTATTTCATTATGTAACAAGGTGTTAATAAAGTCATTTTGTAAAGAATCTGTAGTCTTTCTCGTGATGAGGAAAATATAAATTCGAAAGTATCTACATATATAATACATGTATTTGTGTTTATTACTGTCACGCTGAAATGGCTTGTGAAATTTAGATTAAATTTAGTGCACTAGGCCTGAAGTAACACAAAGGCTAGTTTTAGTAATAAATTTTGCTAAAATATGTATATAATATTAAAGCAATAAAAGAACTCGAGCGAAGCGAGAGAGGTCACTAGTGCAGCATATTAATGTCATTAATAAAAATTACAATTTTTTCTAATAACATTTTATAGACCTTGGAAGTTTCTCCTTTAATTACTTATACTTGATTTTAATAAATAAAAAAAGAACAGGTTCTTGTAACTCTTACCGAAATTGTGGGTGTGTTTGCAATAACTTGGGCTATTGACAGAACAGACATTACTCATTTGAATTGACATTGATTGCGTAAAACAAATACTTGACATGGCCTTGTAATTGCTAGATATTTGCCATAACAAGATAAACATTGCAATCAAAGCAATTAATTTTACTAGTTTAACAATATACGTAAGGCTTAATACAAGAATATACATACATAAATACTTATACACCGATAGATAAATTAAATTTATTACAACAATACTTAACGAACAAATTGAATTGGCGTAACAGTACATACTTTCTAACCTATTTTCATAAATAATATTAGATATTAAATTATAAACTGATTTGATAATATACGTAATGAAGCTAAATTCGATGCCTAACCCTGTTGGCAGTATCAAAGTTTGATTAAAGGGTTATGCAACGAGATAAATAAGTAAATTATATCTGTGCCTTTATTGATATTCAGAAATGTGTAATAGCCGATTAATATTGAAAGGGCATCGCCTTCTTTGGACACAAGTGTAAATTACTACAAAATGTTAACCAATAACTATTATAATAACCTCCTACATTATTTAGACGGTTATAAATAAATGTCCTATTCAATAGGACATATAAGGTAGGATTTAATTATTATAAATGACACTTGTTGCAAAATATTCATTTACTCTTAAATACTCATTTTGTGTCTTTGAAAATGATTTATATTGGTAACTTTCAAAATATTTTATGAGGCTACTATTTAACTAAACACTTACAATATAATTTTTTCCATGCAAAAATAGCTTTTTCATCTGACTGCTGTTCAAAGGGACTAACTAGGTTATCGTTCTTATGTAGATGATTTAATCATAAATAAAACTATCTTTTCGGATTTTTTCACGACTTTATTTCCATTTTTTTAGTTCCCGACGTTTCGAATGCTGTACAGAAATTACAGAGTCACGTGTGTAAAGCATTCGAAACGTCGGGAACCAAAAATCAAAATAAATCCGCGAAATAATCCGAAAACATAGTTTTATTTATTATGTCAAATATTCACGTAAATCTAAGAAAGTATTAATATTATAAAACAATTATAAGTAAAAAATAAGACAAATTAGTAATTACATTATCAAAATCTGAATATAGTGTACGCATATAAATGAGTAATTACTAATTACCAAATAAATCTGCAATAATTTGTCTTCTAAATGGATATTCAGGATTCTCAAATGTTTTAATATACGCTGTAATGTTTAAGAACAATTCATTTAGATTAAGTTAAAAAAACAACAATAACAGGATAGCTATTAGTAATTACATCAAGTTCTTTGTTGGTATCTATACCTACTAATTTGATAAAGAGGTAAAGTTTGTGACTTTGTGATGTTTTAGGATGGTTAATCTCTGGATGTACAGACCAGATTTAGATGAAATTTGGTAAGCAGATAGTTTGAGACCCTGGGAAGGACATACGGTACTTTTTATCCCGGAAATCATCCCTTAAGGGGGTGAAAATGGGGATGAAAGTTTGTATGGGGAATCAATTCAATCAAGTTAATAAGTAAAAATGATAACTCTTTTCGCTAGTAAGTTATAAAACAGCTACATCTAAATGCAATCCCTCCAATTGAATTGCATCGAAACGTTTCATTGAGTCAGACATGAACGAATGCGTTCACTCAGCTTATGTAATTCCAGTTATGGTAATTTGATGTATTCAGATCGTTATCAATCTGAGTCTTTGCCAAGCAGCGGTTTGCGCTTTTCATGCCGATGTTTACAAAATCGTGATTGTCTTACAGTACCGAATATTTTTCTTTGTAATATAAAATTACTTCCACTTCGCTCGGGCGTACTTCGGTACCTTTTGTATTTATAATATTACTAGCAGAACCCGCAGCTTCGCTCGCGCTAAAACTACAAAGATCATACAAACTTTTATTCCCTACTTTACCCCCTTATGGGATGAATTTCGAAAAATGCTAAAGCACGTATTTCTTTAATTGTAATGAAGAGCATTAATACTAAGTTTCAAGTAATTCTGATAATATATTTTTTTGGTTGTATTATTACGTGTTTTCCCGTGGGAGTGAGATAATCTCCCGCGTAAATAAAAAGTAGCTTAAGTCACTCTCCAGCCCTCCAACTATCTCCAAACAAAAAATCACGCTAATCCGTCACTCCGTTTCGACGTGAAAGAAAGACAGACAAACAAACAAACTAACACACTTTCACATTTATAATATTAGTATGGAAGTATGGATTTACAGACAGCGCCATCTTTCGGAAAATATTATTACTGACCGCAGCCTATGTGCTATTCCAGAATATAGTACAAGGTTTTATCTAATTGTAAATTTGTCTAGCCGATCCAGCGTGAAAGATAAACAAACATGCACACACATACAAACTTTCACATTTATAATAGTAGTGAAATAAAACAAAGGAATATAGTATGCTAATTTAAGCCATATTAAATACTTCTTTGATTTAAAAGCTTTGTGCTAGTATGTTTTTCAAAGCAATAATATTAATAACATAATTTCATATAAATAAGCACAGTCATACCCTTAGTGGTTCAATCTTCTTACGTAATTCTTGTTATGGCAATATTAAATGTTTATGAAGTTTGATAAATCTTTGAGTAATTGCTATAGGCATTGACGCATAACTTAACTAAGGTATTTTTTAACTTAAGTCAGCAATACATTTATTGTGCCTTCTGTTAATGTCTAATACATATAATAGATTGTATTATAATATAATAAAAAAATGTATAATTGGCGTCTTCCTGATTTCAATGCAGTATTAAATGTCTCGAATAGTTTTAACACAAAGGATTCCAACTGGTCATTCCAGTTGTGGCAGCTTGCATGTTTTCCCACGATAGTGATGCATACTATAATTTACCGTATACTTGTGGTGTTGGCCACCCTTGGATTTATCAACATTCTGATTCGCGTGACATAACAAACTAGGCAGTGACAACACTAAAACATTAGACCAACCAGATGACCTATTTATGTCTAATAGGTATTTATCGCGCTTCACTATTTCTATTAGGCCCCGTCACAATTTAATAGATTACATCCCTAACGTCAAATTTGACAGGAGATCAGTTGACAGCTCGATAGAAAGGTGTAAATCAACTTATAGCATGTAACTACTAAACACTACTTAATGATAGGTGTTCGAGCAAAAAAGTCGTGAGAAATTACTGCGATACCACATACGTCATATTTTATAATGTTATGAGTTATCCACTCTTACTATTACGTATATTATCTAATCCAATTAATTAGAAAGTAATTAAACAGCAATGTGAAATAGTAATTATTTTGTTAATAAAATCTCTCAGTTCCGTCGATTAAAGTTATACATACGTACCATTAAACGCGTTTAATATTGAAAATTAGCATGTAGTGAAATCTATTTTACGATCGCTCACTCAAATTTCATTAAATAGGTACATAGTGTATACTTAAAAATAAAATTGATACTAGCTCATTTTAGGGTTATGCCTCGTACCGCACGATATTAACATTTTGTATTTATTACCTAAATAGCTATAGAACTGATGTTTATAATATTTCTGATGGCGAATAGAGGATTTGGGTGAGAGTGTAATTTAGCAATATATTTTAGTTCAGAAAAGTCAAAATCCGTAGGCAAAGATGATAGAAGCGAAGAAACGGCTTCACCAATTTTAATAAGGGATTTAACTCTCTCAAGGAAGGAACTCAAATAATCGATTTGTCTATCAAAAATACAGTACATTTAACAGTATAAATTAAAATAACATAAAACGTGTGACAATGACTTACATTGATAAGCCTTTGCAAAGTAGCGACATAGGAGTTCTCACTATGTATGATAGCTGCAACCACGTGCCTGCGCCGGAGTTGTATCGGCGTGAGGGTGTCCGGCGCAGGGCCTAGCGAGGGCGGAGGCACTCTGCCGCCTCGGACCTCACCCCCGCAGGAGAACATGTCCTCCTCCAGCTAAAAATTATAATATGACATCTTTAAATAGGTCGTTTCTTATTTTTCAATTAATTACTCCCTAGTATATTAAAAAATCCCTTTTACCAATGAGGAATTATTTCGGTGAGTAACGAAGCAATAATGACTGTTATTTAAATTAATGATATATAATGCAGTATGAATAAATTTAAGAATTGAAAGATTAAAACTAGAGTAGTTATGCTTAAAATAATCTTATTCTCGCGTGTTCATTGGCGAGAAAGATTCTGATACGGTAAATAATTGATAATATTTATGAGGTAAATTACGCAGAACGTGCGGCTCGATGAATGTTTTAAAATAAGATTCAAAGAAAAATCGTTTGGAATTATTAAATGGAACAATATATTATTAATTTTACGATGGATAATTATGAAGAATTCATAACAGACTGAGTCATTTTCAGTAATACACGTCAATAACATTGCTTTTCGACAAACTGTACCATAAATTGGAATCTGTTTTGTAACGTTGCACAAATGTCTTGTTCTTTTGTCTTTTGTATGTATGTCTAACATTTTGTCTAACCTTAAAATCACTAAATCTTTAAAAATGAGTCGGAGCCACAAAAATGCCAATACATAAAAGAAATACTATTGTTAAACTAAGTGCTGTATGTATGTGAATGTGGGTATTTAACATTTCTTTTTCTTGACAGTATCCAGATGAAGCGATTTCACTCGTGCGTTTATTTGTGATCGCCTTAGAAACTCGAGCGTGTACATGTGATGAAATTCTGTTGGCGCACATCGAATCGTGCACCAAGCATTTATATCATGTACGTATAAACCCGTAAAATTACTGGTCGATCACGTCACTCTATTTATATCTGTGCACGATATTAAGGAGACCGGTTTATCTGGACCATGTCATTATAACATAATATGACATCGTACACGTAAACGTCAAAAGCCCCACCGGCACCCGTTTAGCGATCACGTGACTTACGTATACATCGAATGTTGTCATTGAGTAAAGAGCTTTTTCACGGAGAACTTTTACACAGAACATGGCTGATGATATGTCAAATACAATCGTCAGATTACCGGTAAGAAAAATTTAAAATCACTTTTGACATTTACGAATAACACGTTACTCATGCCGTATCACTAAAAATATACTGAAGTAAAAAATTACAATCGTAAACATGAATCCACTATGGTAGCTCACTGGACAGCGATCGCACATCATTATATCACATGTTTAAATAGATTATTTACTTAGCAAACTTGTACATATGTACGTATTGACGAGGACTCTACATCGTTACTGCGGTTTGTTGTTGAACGGCGAGACACTCGAGCGTCCGATCATGATTCATCACTATATAAATGTGAATCATGTACATCATATATTTAATTGTACGATTCCTTTAGTGGCCGTTGGAATTAAAGATGGCGCACGGGCCAATGAATGATGTATTTTAATTCCAGAAATTATTGTGAACGCACAGGAAGTCAATGACCAATATAAAACTACGTCTTTCATTGAGCGCGATATTAAAGTTAGCGTTTATAAACTACACTTGATAACTATCCATAAATCCCAATATCGTAAAATTGGCTCAACTATAGCAAATGAGAAATGTGGAATGTAACAATTGAGGTTTGTTATGAGTGAAATAGAACTTCAAGATAAAATTAATCAGACAGGCAGTTGATTCTATCTAGCTTGTTAATCAACGTCATTTCACCTCTCAAGGATTTTCTTCACGACAAAAAGCAATACAATTGAAACTGGTCCAATTAAAGAGAATTATCATAATAATTTACAATATGAATGAAGTACCGCTGCGTGGTATTTCAACTACTAAATAAGTTGTAAATAAGTAAAAGCTTTATGGGATATGTCCAATTCACTATGTTAAGAATGTTGCTTGCATACGACGGCTAGACCAGTATCCTGTTGCGATCTCGTGCCGCTGCCGGAATACCGGATTTAAACCGGATTTGCATACAAATGCAATAGCCGGTACCATACAGGATAAATACCCAATTATGGTAACACTGAAATGTCTTTATTATAACGCGTGTAATACTATAATTCTTTAAGTTACAAAAATAGCATATCTTTTCTTGTTGTAAAGTATTAATTAGACAGTTTTCCAATACTGCATATTTATTTAGGTTACAACGTTAATAATTATCATATAAGCAATAATAACATTTGAATAAAATGCAAAGTTCTTAACCCAAAACCCTTTATTAAGTACTGACCTCCGGCAGTTTAGGCATCTTGTCAGTCTCATGAGTATGCATGTCATACTGGTGTGTAGAGCCGCGTCGCACGCTGAACCAGCGCGCGAGCCGCCCTCCGCCCTCGTCGTCGGGCGCGGGCGCGGGGGGTGACGGTGTGTTGCTGCCGCTGCGCCATCGCTCGCACAACTCGCGTGCACGACTCAGCGTGTTTCGTAGCTGACCACTGCTTCTGGTAAAATCACACTACTGTTATAAATACCAAAATTTGTATGATGGACGAAAAGATTTGCATTTTTAGTACACAGATAGACTGGAGTAACACATGGGACATTCTTAGGCACTTAGGAACGCGCCCAAAGGAAACGAGAGTATGAGGCAATATCAGAATAAACAAAAATCAGCCAACAGAAATAATAAAAAACTATTAGAGAGATTTTGTACCTACTCATTTAAAAACATCATTATTCACTTTAATCGTTTTTGCATCGTCAAAGTGGTTTAAGATCAATTACACCTATATCTTAACTTCCCCAAATATTTTACAAAGTGTCGTCGAATCACATGTTATCTTGACTCATGAACAAATGTTCAAAAGATTTTCTCAATTTGCCTCGTCCGAAAGTTTAATGTATGGAGAAGAATTTTATGTTCGGCTGTCGGCAATCGCCGTACAGATTAGCCCATTTAATTTAATGTTCAAGAGTGTCTGCGTGATTATCTTTTAACTTCGAAGTGTGTTTTATAACATACTACTAGCTGACCTAAGAGCCATCCTGTCTCGATTTTAATAAATTTATTTTTTGATCTTTGAAGTCATACAAAAATTAAATAGAAAAAAAAAACTTGTTCTCTTTTTCCTATAAACCACTCGCACTATTACATAAATTTTATTAAAAAAATAACCAAATCAGTCCAGCCCTTCCCAAGAGATGCGTTTACCAACGAACAGCAGCAGAATCTTTTTTATAAAAAAACTATAGATATTGCCCTCAGACAAATAATCAAAATTTAAATATCTGGCTAACTTTTAGTAGGTACTAACGCTAGAGTTATGATCTGAGTTTCTTCTTAAAAATGAATCTTAAACAATGCGGCTTCTCCCTAACATTACTATCAATGATACACTTGATTTAATTTACAGCATGATTAAAAGGATGTCGGCAATTTCCCGACGCGGAAGAACTTCAATTGAGAGAAAAAGATTGCACAACCAATCCTATTGGTGAAATTGAATAGAAACTGTACCAGTTGGATAACTTTCTGAAAATTAGTTAGTCTTTCTTTTCTCTTGACGTATGTATGCCTTATATGAAAAACTTAATTTACATTTTTTGCCTTGATGCACGGCTACAGTTGTAATTTTAAATTAAAAGATTCACAATTATTATGATAAATATAAAATGAGTTGATTAGAAATGAGTTTTATTTTTGACAACTATTTTGTAAAAAAAAGTCATATGAAAAGCTTTTTAATTTTTGAAAAATTGCACCTGAAAAATATTTTCCATACGAACGTTTCCGTTTCCACTTGCTTTTCACCTCTTTTAGGATAGAATTTCATAAAATTCTTTTTTATCATTTAATTATTGCACTATATACTTATATAAAGTTATCAAAAATTTTACTGTTAGGTCAAAAAGCATTCTCTTCTAAAACTGATTACTCGAATCTGTTTACAATATCTTTGTACGATACAGATATTGCAAATATCACGGTACAAATTTTCGATAATAATAGGTTTATTGTGTACAAACAGGCCCTGAAGTACTATAGATTAAATGTCAGACTAATAAACGATATCGTCATCTCCGAAGCAATTGAATTCGATGTTTGCAAATATAACAAACGTCTTATTGACTAATGTATCAACATATTGAAACGACAATAGGGCAATTAGTTTGACAAAATACTAAACAAAGAAGCTGCTGAAGGTTGAGACAACAATCGACATTAATTATCTCAACAGTAGAAAAATTTTACGAACGAGTGATTTTATTTTAAAAGTAATCTTAAACATTTTAAGTTATTTATGTAAATAATTTAAAATGTTTACAGAAACTCTGCTTCTTACTAATTTCTTAATCGGTTATGTTTTTTAACATTTGCATGGCAACACTATTTATTGTAAATGGTGCTAGTTTGTCAATGTAAGTACGCAATAACACTACAGGCCTTTCGATCAACTACCTTGTAAGGTGCGAATACAAAAGGACGGCTAACGATTAAATACCGCATCATATTTATTCATCTCATACATAAGCGAAAACATTAATTCAATGTTGTAAATAATGTTATGTAATCAGTCATTATTTAATGTAAATTTTGTTACTTAGTTTTTCTATTAGCGTATACAATGCTATGTTAATTTAATTGGATGGTGGAAAAACAATTGATAGATTTTCTAAGAAAGTATAATTGATAGATTTTTTGTTACACGATAGGATATTAAGTATTAAAAGTTATTTACTGTAATGATAAATTATTGTTAAGTGAAATTATTTTTACTTTGCACACAATTTTATATACATAACAGAAAATATAATATGTTAGTGCAGGTTTTGACAATGTTAATAAATAAAGTTACGTTGTAGTTATGTAGAACCTTGAGAATATATTTGCGTGAATCGCCTACGTTCTATTGGACTGTCACACGAATAGTACGATTAGTAACTCGCTAAAAACGAACAATAAATTTCATACGAATATGTTTTATTTATATTCGTATAAACATTAGAAATACGATTTAGTAACTATTCACCATATGAGATGTCTTAAATATTTAATGACGTCAATAAAACAAATATATTATTATGTAGACAATATTGTAAGCACACGTTGCAATATAACTACCTATACTAATATTATAAAAAGACAGAGTTTGTTTGTTTATACGCGCTAATCTAAGGACCTCCTAATCCGATTTGAAAAATTATTTTTAAATTAAATAGTCTGTTTATTGAGGAAGGCTATGGACCGCGAAGCGGAGCAGTAATCATAAATGTCAACAAATCGGGCAGACTTCCATACATTATTGTAAAACTGATGTTTATGATTAAACAAATTTAACGCGGGTGAAACCTATTTAAACGGGGCACAGCTAGTTAAATAATAATAGTTGATAAATAAGACAGACGACGCACTGTCTGTAGCTCCTACAGCTTATCTAGTTGACCTATAGCATTTGTCATAATGCAACAATAACATAGGTGAAATATGTGCCTTTGAACAAGTACTCGTATATTTTAACATGACTCTCTAGTATAAGCTCAGTCAATTTAGTTATCTTGTAAATGTAGCATTCTTCTTTAATTAGATACTTTATTATTAGTTTTACAAAAGTTGTGATAACCGATAAAAGTTCTATAAAAAAGGTTTAAAACATCATTATTTCAGTTAGGTACCTATGACATTTACGTTGAAAACGTTTAACATATTGAAACAAGGATGAGGTAACACTGACAATAGGGGACGGAATAATTACCTGTGAATTATCATTATCATTAACGTACATGCAAATTGAGTGTACACCCAACCTTGACATTATTTTAGTTTTTAAAGTTTTATAACGTTAACTAAACTATCCTATAAGTACTTGCGGAAATTGATTTTTTGGACTTCACATAATATACATTTTATAATATAAAGAGTAAAAGCTTTCTAGAAATGTATGTCAATACACAGTCAGTGGTTCAGAATTTTGACAGCCCATATAAAACGCTTCATGAGTCAATTTAGAAAGCTGATATAGCATATTTGTTAAAAGTATATGGAACATGGTTTTTAATTAAAAAAAATGCAACAAAATAGCGAAATAATATCTTTATATCTTAGGAACGATTAAATAGATACTATCTTGTCTTTGTTTCATCAAGTCAAGGGTAATGTTAATAATACATTCGACTGCAACGACTATTATTACCCGGTACTCTGTAAATTATTCTTCTCGTTAAGCGTACAACGCACACATTAAAATCCGTAAGCATTTAATTCTACATGCGTATAATGTTTGTTGCGGTCTTTGTAGTACCAGTAAATTCACACCATACCTAATATTGTTCCCGACTGTCAGAGATAACAGTAATCTATACATAGAATAAAATTCTAAGTCAAATCTGTACATTAAAATCTGTACATTAAATATTTTTTAGAAAATCTTATTGAAATAGACATTATTATCGATACAGAGGCCGAATCTATAGTTTTTAGAATTATTTGTCTGTCTGTCTGTTACCGCATCACGGAAAAACCACTGAAGGGATTTTGATGAAATTTGGTATGGTGATAGCTGGTTATCCGGGTCAACATATAGGGCTTCTTACCACGTGAAAATATCTCATTTCTGAGAAAAAATACAAAAACTGCAATGTAAGGGTATACTAATATGTAAAGACAAAGAATTTGGTTTTTGGTCATCTGAACGCGGTACCTGGCTATAGTGTACCTATAGATTTTTTTTGGAATACTCTATCTTACACAGCTTTATAGATTTTGACATGTGTCAGGGGTTGTTAGACTTATTATTGAGGGAGTGAAGCAGGACACCTATATCATTCTCTTTTCAGCCAATTATTCTATGTACAATAATTTCGTCACTTTTTTATTTGTTTATGTATTACTGAATTTTAGCTAGAAAATAATATTGATGCACTTCTATTAAGGTGTTCTAAAATAGCCTATCCTATAATAGAGTTAAATGGTCAGTCAGAGGCAGTGCCCTCTGTTGGCCCCTGGAGTTTGAACACAGGAAATTTGTGTTAATTGGGTACGCGGCGCAACTAATTGTCGAGCCGACGAGACCACACTAGATAGGAAGTGTGTACCCAGTTGCCATCTGCAACAACTAACTAACCACGTTAGCACGTGCAAACAATTGTCCTGTACACGTTTGTAGTGGTGGTTGACCTGATTAAAGATAAGAAGAGTGCTTGCTACATGCATTCATACTTTATAGTACCTTCACAATATCTTTATACTACTGTATTATTACTATACAACAGTTTGTACATATGTGTAAACAAATTAATTAATTAAAAACAAATTAATATATAATAGACTAGAGTTTTCCTGCGGCTCCGCCCCCATAATACATTAATGACCAACATATCATATACTAAAACCTTCTCCGAAACACACTGCATCTTATGGTATGAGTATTATTCCGATCGGTTCAATAGTTATCGCAGTATAAACAAACAAAAGAATTGGCTCTCTATTTATTAGTATAGATTAGGTAGTTATGGTGTCCCTCCCAACGTGCGTACACCCTGTCGTGGTGGGGGAGCTCATTAGCGGCCGGCAATCCAGCCGGGCGCGAAACCAAGAAACGCACTGGGAGGCGGCCCACCTCAGTGGGTGATGTGCCATGCGGGTTGCTCCTGGTACTTCTCGGATAGCAGAGTAACCGTTGGAACAACCCCATCGCTGTTGTGGTCTGCTTTGGCAGACCTGCCGTCGGGGCATCATGGTTGAGTGTGTGATGAGTCCCACATAAGTACCTGTACGTTGTATACAGGTGGTATGCGTAAATGCAGTTCCCAATTTAAAAGATAGTTATGATGAATGAAAACGTGACAGTGGACAATACGCAATGAAAATATACTACGGTTTAATGTATTTTAATAGCAAATGAAATGAATGATTCCGGACGCTGCACTGTTTCAAACGTAGTTAATGTTCGTATCACTTTAGAAGCCCCCCATTTGAGTGAATTGGTTCTAATTTCGGAATAGCCAATAGCCATCAATCATACTTAATAAAGACAGCTCGATTGTTTTTATTTTCATTTAAACGATTTAGTTCTCTTCAAATGGGGTGGTTTCTTTTATTATGAACATAATGCACAATAATAATTTCAATATTATGCACATGATATAAGCTATTATATAACATCTGTTCATCTCTAATAAAATAACCATAAACAAATTGAGCCACAATTTAAACTATTTAGAGTATTTAGCATTAAATTAAAATGGCATAAATATAGCATATTGCTATAATACTATATTAAGCGTGATTTATAAAATATGTTGTATATGCCAACACAAACATAAATTTATTTGTTTATAATCCAAAAGAAATGTTCCTTCAGAAAGGTTTGATGCTAAATACAGATTCAGGGTTAGTGACACTTGTAAGATAAGAATTAAGTATACATACAACGTGGAATTAAAAAAATAAATGGAAGTTCGGTACTCGTACACAAATACATCTTGTACCATTTTATCGCATTGAAAATATACAGATGCGTTGTTTTACATGTGACTAAATTACCTTTTAATAGGTTAAATCTGAACTGAACAATAAAAGTCAATACAAAATTTTTATATGTTACTTTGTCACCAAAATGTCACTTTTATATAAATTAAACTACCGGTGACATTTCACCTTAATAATAATAATTATCATAAAGGTAGTTTTCGTAAAATATTTACAAATCATAGCTTATATCTTTCTAGATATTCCCTCTTTTTATAGGTGAAAACCTTATGAAAATACGTATAATACAGTAGTTTATGAGATTAGCCCAAACAAACACAAATAGTGTATAAAATAACATGTTGTATTTAGTAATGAAATTTCAGCATATACATAAACCTAGAATCATAATCTGGAGTCTAACCTGGTGTCCAGTGTGGAGTTTAGCCGCTGAGAGCGCCTGAGCGGGGTGTTTCGTACCGCGCTCACCGGCTCCTCCCAGCTGCCTCCCGCCGACCGGTGCTCATCTGTGAATAATATCAGTATTTGTTGCATTTATTATTGTTTAAATACTTTCGTGTGTTGCGTTCAAAACTACTTTAAATATTCCATACAACAAACGGCGGTTCCAAATAACCTATCAATCTTTGGTTTACTTTATCAGCGATAGAAATTTAACATAATTTGTATGGAACTTATGTCAAGTTTCTGTCTATAGTAAGGAAAAAGTTCAGATAGGTTATGGGGAACAACATTTGACAGTCAATTATAGGTGTAATATGTCTGTCTGCCTATCATGACGTTATTTTTCGTGCATTTTATTACCATATAATAATATATATCATATATATACCGTATATATATTTAAATTAAAAAAGAAATAATATTTACAAATATATATTAACCAATAAAAATTAATAGGCTTATAAAGATCACTTACTCTAGTTCCTTTATACTTCCAACACGCCAATGAAGCAGTAAAGAGACATAGCGTTTAGATAAGGTTACAGTCAAAGGTCTGCCGATTAGAGAAAAATGATAATATTTAATCACTTTCAAAGTGTGACTTTAATAGAATATTTTATACAATAATTTGACGATCCACTAAGTGACTTAAGACCTTGAAATATACAAGCGTGGGCGGCCATGACAAGGCAACCATGTTTTAGCAATTTTGTTTGTGCACCATTTCAATTTATTTGAGTTTGCTCAATAGACAATTAATTTGTGTAAAATTTAAAATGAAATAAATAAATAAATACTACATACTTTTGTACTTTTTAATCAGCTTGTTTTTAATTTTATCAAACTTGTTTTCACTTTTTTTTGCACGTTTCATAATAAAATAGACACTGACTGATATATGTTTTTTTTTTATTTTCTGTACAGAAATATTACATAACACGTTATCTTAAGGTTTAAACATTATAAAGACTTGTAAAGACACATGTGAGCTCTATAAAGTTTTACGAATCACTAAACATAACAGTGACGTCTTTATCCCACACATGTATATGATGACATTATTAATATTAATTATATTACCTCTTACATCAAATAAAAAAACACAAATATTTTATCATAATATACCTACTAAATTTAAGAAGAAAAAATATGTATAATATGTATCCGTTCGTTTAAAATATTCTAAATGTCGATCAAACTTATGCAGAATTCCGGATAAATTTCGAAGGTGTATTGGTTATTTTTGACCGACTTCAAAAAGAAGATGTACAACGATACAGAAGTTCTTTTTCTTTTTGTACTACATGATTTTAAGTTAAAGTAGATTTTTTAAGTTAAAAAGTAACCTTTGATAGTAAGAATCTTTTCTTTACCAGTGTTATAAAGAACTATCGACTCTATAGCCCACGGTAACTTTTCAGTGTTACAGCTCCAGAATGCGTCAACTAAATTGAGGCCCAAACTTGAAACAATAATTATTAATAATTATGTAACAAGTTTTAAGAAAACAGACAACGTATATTTACCTATGTTTTGTTTGTGTATTTTATCTTTGTAATAATTTATAATGTATAATCTAGTTAGTGTAAGTGGCGCCGCCGTTCTAATTGGATGTAAAATAAATAAATAAATAAATAAACGTACTAATTAGGACTACAATTTTATCTCAAACGTATCAAGAGTATAACTTTGAATGATTCTAATCTTTCAAGTTAACAAAATTCTCCTCACGTAGATATATGTAATTTACACAAAATTATAACATCTACCAATTATGAAAATATCAAGGAATTAAAACAAAGGATAGATTCAAATAAACGTAATAGGATACTCTGTAATGTTATTAGTCAATTTAAAAGTGAATATGAACGAAATGAGGTCGATAACCTGATTAGATAGAATCTTGACCCACTAGATAATGTAAACAGCAAAATTGCAGGTCCAACACGAATCGATTTATGGACGGTCAGTATCGCTCGGTTATCTAGAGATCAGTGTATCGGAGTGGGTCGACATCAGAGCCGCCGCCCTGCACGCCCCGTCACTCATGCAGTCATTGTTTGAACCTAGATCTGTATGATTCATACAGCCTATATAGCAACTTTCAGATAAGAATGCAACAAATAGGGCGTTGCAAGCAAACAATCGCGTCGAAGAGTTATGCCTTTGACATATTTTCCTGGTTTTGTTACAATATGTAAATTATGAAGCTTGCTCGGGTATCTCTTTGTTATCAACAAGATAAAAACCAAACATGTATAAAATATCAAACGCTTATTTTTATTTCTATATCCATCTATTTATTCAGTGAATATAATACGTTGGTACCAGGAGAATTATAGATTTTATTCCTTATAGGACGTAAGACGCATATTTGTAATAAGTACAATGAAGCGAAAACAATAATCAGTTGTAGTCAGTTTATTTAAAACAGCTGTTTTATAGGTTACTAGCATTGCTCGCGGCTCCGCCCGCGTTCAGATGACTCAAAACCAAATTCTTTGGTTTACATATTAGTATACTCTTACATTGCAGTTTTTGTATTTTTTCTCAGAAATGAGATATTTTTTCGCAGTAAAAAGTATCCTATATGTTGACCCGGATAACCAGCTATCATCATACCAAATTTCATCAAAATCTGTCCAGTGGTTTTCTCGTGATGCGGTAATAGACAGACAGACAGACAGACAGACAGACAGACAAAAATTCTAAAAACTATAGATTTGGACTCTGTATCGATAATAATGTCTATTTCAATTAGATATTTCAAAAAATATTTAATGTACAGATTCGACTTAGTTACAATTTTATTATATGTATAGATTTGCCTTGGAACTCTTATATTTTATAGCTTATTTTATATCAATAATATACTTATAAAATATTTATAGCCGTCAAAGAAAATCGAATATAACACATGAAAAGCCCGTACCTAGTATGCAATTGTAGTAGTTGCGAAATAAATACCCATATACATAAACTGCAGGTAAAATCTAGTTGAAAAATAAAACAAAGTATATAATTTCAGTTTAACTTTAATTGACAATCGTCACGGACTAGTCACTAGACCACATCGAATTATAGGGAATTTAACCACAATGACTAAGTTTAATTCACTAAGGATATTCTGTACATTTTCTTACCTTAGAAATACTAACAATATTGCACCTCAACTAATAAGGCAATTTTTTGAATTATATAAATTCATCTGCAAATGATAACAAGCAACTGTTTGGGTACTGTATCTGTAATTTGTATATAAGAAGGATAAATTACATTTTAAATTGTATTCTAAATTGTATTCTAAATGAGCAAATATAAAATTCCAGTAATAGTTCTTCCAATATAATAAAATAAGCCCTGAATTGACTACATATGAATATAAAATTTTATTAACCCATAGGAAGGGTCGAAATTATTCAGTTAGGTTTTCAAAATATTGCATATTGTGTCTGTCAGTCTATGTATACTAAGTTAATACAAAGTACAAGCAAATATTTAGAAAATAAATATTGTTATGTTGGACGGCAAGTTGAAATTGTCTAGTTTTTAGACACTATCCGTACATTCGTTTATCTATTTAGACACGTGTTGGATTGTAATTCAATATTTATTATGAGTGTACGCTTTTAATATTTCCTAACGCCATACGCGCTCATTGTTGGTTTTATAGTAAAATTATAATATTGAAAGTACTGGTACGCATTTAAATTATACAGTTCACATTTATTATATACTAGCGACTCACCCTCGCTTCGCTCGGATTCGTCCCTAGGTTGTTTCCCAATACAAATTTTCATTCCCATTTTCACCCCCTTAAAAGTTGGTTTTCGGGATAAATGACCTTTCCGGGTCTCAAACTATCTTCTTACAAATTTCATCTAAATCGGTTCAATAGATCCAGATATTAACCCCTACATCGTCACAAACTCACTATTCACAAACTTTACCTCTTTATAATATTAGTATAGATTGCAAAGTTTGTGTTTGTTTTTTCTACTTTTTCACACAGTAATGGCTTAACGGAAGTCAAAATTAGAATGAATGTCATATGTTCTGAATTAAAGAAAGGCATTTTCGACCTCCAACCACGTGATCGGAGTTACGGACAAAACCTATTATAATAATAAATATTTTTGCTGCGTTCTATAGTCAAAATTGTAACTTTAAAATTTAAATACTGTCGTATAAAAAAAGTTGCAAATATATTTATTTACAAATAACAAATTGCATAGATTACAAAATGTCACATTCATTGAATCATCTAGGAAATAACTAAATGAATAATTCATTGATAAATATAGCATACATGATTCATAACTTACAATATGAATATTAATTCATTAATGGTTTAATTTAAACAAATATCAATAATAGTAAACGTACCTATTTGTTTGATCGTTTCCTCTGAAACGGGACATAGCTTAACTTTGTTTACAACAATCACCAACGTACACTGCATTGTTGCAATCGACGGCACTGACACACGCACATGGACTATTGGATCCTCTCACATTACTATAAGTTATTGAGAAATGCATCGTTCGCAACGTGCAACACACCGTAAAGTCGGTTTAGGACTAAGCCGGATTTGCATAATTGGTGGTAACTATGTCAATTGCTAAGCCTACCATCGAAGTGACGGGGAAAAGTATCAACAATGACGCTCATCCGCACAATTATTAGGTTCACGATGTTAATTGTAAATGTGCGCCTCCCGCATCAATTATTGCGAGCGACGCGCCGGCGCGCGGCGCAGCGCAACGGGGGAACTTTCGAGGACGAATATAACACAACACTTCGGTTATTTCTGGAAATCGCAACGTAATAAAATCGAATTCATATCCAAGTTTACATAATTTGGCTTCAGATATTAACAATAACAATGTTACGCGTATTTCTGGTAACGGTACTGAAATGAATATTCTAGGTACATACATTTATTTATACTACTAGCGACTCACCCTGGCTTCACTCGGGTTCGTCCCTAGGTTGCTTACCAATACAAACTTTCATTCCCGTCTTCATCCCCTTAAGAGACGATTTCCGGGATGAAAAGTATCACATGTACTTCCCAGGGTTTCAAACCACCTTCTTACCAAATTTAATCTAAATCGGTTCAGTAGATCCAGAGATTACCCCGTACAACGTCACAAACTCACAAACTTTACCTCTTTTTAATATTAGTATAGATAATATAATATTATTATGTCTCAATTAGTTAATGTATTTGTTCAAATTTTAAAAATATTTACAAGTGCGTTTTCCTACATTAGATACATTATTCAATAGATTGTACAAATATTTAAAGGAACCTTGGTATACGTACATACATACGTCCAGAGTAAGTAATATTTCCCTACAATTTGAAATTTCAAATAGGTATTTTGCAAGCACTTGCTTATACAGTCGACATACATAAATGCCACAACGCATAATATTTTCCATGGTCAAGTTAGAGCGTAAATAATTCGTAATCCTACATTTATGTAAAATTAATTACATATCTGTTGAACAAACATTAACTTGAAGTTATAGTCGTGTAAAGAATCATTAATTTTATTTCATAATAGTTTGTTAGATTAACCTTGCTATTTATAATCCAGATTTTATGTAGTAGATTCTTATTTAATTAAATCTTTTTACTATAGCTTCTAGCCCTAGACATTTTCTACCACTTCTCTAGTAGAAGTCCTAAATCAATGCTAATATTATAAATGTAAAAGTGTTTGTTTGTTTGTCCTTCTTTCACGTTGAAACAGAGTTACGGATTGGCGTAATTTTTTGTGTGGAGATAGTTGGAGGTCTGGAGAGTGACATAGGCTACTTTTTAACGCGGGAAATTATCTCTTTCCCACGGGAAAACACGTCATAATCCAACATAAAAAATATTTATGATCAGAATTACTTAAAACTTGGTATTAATGCTTTTCAATACAATTAAAGAAATGTGTGTTTTAGCATTTTTCGAAATTCATCCCATATAGGGGGTAAAAGGGGAACGAAACCAATCCAAAAACCAATGCTAATTTTGAAAAGTACTTTGAAAAAACTTTATAAATACAAACATAATTAAAATGCTAACGACTCCTTATACAAAATAATGAATATTTAATAACAATATTACACAGAAATATTTTTCCATCTAAGACAATATACCTACATATAATTTAAGTTTCTCATTAGTTACAAATAAAAAGTCGTGTTAACATGTGTAGGGTGTAGCTGTGTACCTTTTGAGTGTAGGAACAAAATGAATCAGGTTGTTGAAGCTGTCGGTGTCGGGTGTTAATTAGTAACTTACATTTAATGAGGACGACCGAGTCGTGGGGCTCGCACTGCACCTGGGTGGCGTTCATGGCCAGCAGCCCACCGCTGCCGACCCCGCCACCCGCTCCGCTAGCCTCCCTGCATAAACAATAACAATAAACATTATATTAATATGTTAATAATAGATAATATTACAAAAAAAATATAAAACCCGATTGCGATTAAAGCTAATCTATACAAATAAATAAAATTGAAGTGTCTGTTTGTAATGTCAAAATAACAGCTTTTTACTAAATGCATATAGATGTATACACGGTACATATACCAAAACAATTTTTTTTAACAATTTTTGTCTGTCTGTTTGTTTCTTCTGGCTAATCTCTGAAATGGCTGGACCGATTTTAACGGACTTTCACTGGGAGATAGCTGATGTAATAAGGAGTACCTTAGGCTACTTTTATTTTAGAAAAAAAAAACAATTTAAAATTTAATAACATCCGATTCAAATAGGGAAGATGTATACCCTGGCGAGGGTGAGTCCCTAGTCAAATATAATATTGTATATTTTTGTTATTGCCTCATAAAATCCTTTATTTTGATACCTCACTCGATAGGTTTGGAATAAAGATTTCTTCAAGACGATCAATCCACTGTTTTTATTTTTTTATAACTTTAATATATTCTATGACACGTCATCTATACGAATCTAACGCTGTGAAATTCATCAAAATTAGATAAGCTAAGTAATTACGGGAGCATAAAGCATCGGACATACATATTATATACAGATCTAACATATAACCCTTCTTTTTAGTTTTAGTTAATCGATCGATGTGATTTTTGGATAGAATGCGTAAGGGGGCGGATAGAGACAAAAGCCATTTATAATTTATTTCGGTAAACATTACAGACATTAGGTATCCCCTTAGTAAATAGAGGAAGAAAGAGTAGCGGATAAGACAGATTATGAAAGTTAGCTAAATGGGGTTTGGAATATGTCATATTTATTGTTAATTTATTGCTATCAAACTAAATTACAGTACATTTAAAAAACTAGTAGGTACTCATTTAAAAGCAATCCTAGGCTTGTAAGGTATAAATTATTTTTGTGTTAATCTATGCTAGTATGCTTATACTAGCAGACCCGCCCCGCGGCTTCGCTCGCTCTTAAACTACAAAAAATCTTTAAAAAGATAGTTTCATACAAACTTTCGTCCCCTATTTTACCCCGTTATCCCAATTCTCCAAATTCATGCCAATTTGGAGAAATGCTAAAACAAGTATTTATTTAGTTTTATTAAAGAGTATCCGCAGACCATGTTTCAAGTAATTTTTATCATAAATATTTTTTTGGATCATATTATAAAGGGTTTTCACGTGGGAATTAGATAATCTCCCGCGGCAAAAAGTAGCCTATGTCACATATCAAACAAACAAACACACTTTCACATTTATAATATTAAGTATAGATTATAATGAGGATAGGTTTTTTTGTTTGTTTGTTTATTTGTACTGAATAAGCTCCCAAACTACTGAACCGATTTAGATGAAATTTGGTAAGAAGATAGTTTTAGACCCTGGGAAGGACATAGTAGTTTTTATCCCGGAAATCATCCCTTAAAGAGGTGAAAATGGGGAAGAAGGTTTGTATGGGAAATCAACCTAGGGACGAACCCAAGCAAAGTGAGGGTGAGTCGCTTGATGAATATCAACTATGTACATATGTTAAAGAAAACAACAGCTTTTCAGTCTTAAAGTCAATGTGGCAAAATTACTATATGTTTTACATAGCAATAAGTCATTACGACATAATTATTTAATTAAAACAGTTACAAGACCTGAAGTCTAATTTTATAGCAGAAAGATAAGTAAATATTGATCAAAGAGAAATCTGATTATATTTTTAATGAATAACAGGTTATATATTATTTGTCAATGTAGTTCAAGATTACTAGAGTGTAAAAATTTAAAAATTATTTTTAAGAATTATTAATTTTATCATTCCTTGAAAGATGAATGATTCCTTGAATTCAGACAAAAATATATGAGGTATTTAAAATATGACAAATACTATGTACGTTCTTCTAACTTTCATTTAAGTATATAGTTTTGCGAGTTCAGAGTAATAGGTATAATGTTTTATCATAGCATCTAGAAATAAAAAGAAAAGACGTCAAAATATATATAAGATATCTAGTTAGGTATATTGTATACTTATATTTAATAATATGGTTAGGATATATTATAGCTGTGTCTTGAGACACTTCAGTAATATCATTATTGAAATTTAAAATTCTGTGTGAAAGTAATGAGAATTAATATGTTATTTAAAACTGGTATTAACATACATATTATGTTGTTAATAACATTTATAAAATATATATGAACAAAAATTACCAAAACATTTATCTCATGAGAAGTGTGAATCAGTCCATCCACAATAAAACAATGCAATGACATCAAATGTATCAATGAATTATAAAATACTAGCAGTACCTGCGGCTTCGCTCGCGCTAAAACTACAAAAAAGCTCTTAAAAGGTAGGTTTCATACAAACTTTCATCCCCTATTTTACCCACTTATAGAATGAATTTCGAAAAATGCTAAAACACTTAAGTATTTATTTAATTCTGATCATAGAATTTTTTTTGGGTTGTATTATAACGTGTTTTCCCGTGGGAATGAGATAGTGTTCTACGGTAAAAAGTAGCCTATGTCACTCTCCAGCCTTCCAACTATCTCCACACAAAAATCACGCCAATCTGTCACTCCGTTTTGAGGTGAAAGAAGAACAGACAAACAAACAAACACACTTCCACATGTATACATATAATAAAATTGTAACTAAGTCGAATCTGTACATTAAATATTTTTTGGAAAATCTAATTGAAATAGATATTATTATCGATACAGAGTCCGAATCTATAGTTTTTACAATTTTTGTCTGTCTGTCTGTCTGTTACCGCATCACAGAAAACCCACTTGAGGGATTTTGATGAAATTTGGTATGATGATAGCTGGTTATCCGGGTCAACATATAGGATACTTTTTACCGCGCGAAAATATCTCATTTTTGAGAAAAAATACAAAAACTGCATTGTAAGAGTATACTGATATGTAAAACCGAAGAATTTGTTTTTGGTCATAAGAACGCGGGCGGAGCCGCGGGCAATGCTAGTTTATAATATTAAGTATAGATCGTATACATATTAACTTGTTATAGGCATTTACTTAAATGAAAGTTCTTGATGAATATTATCAGCATGAAATTGCATTATAATATTATAATTATAATATTCACACATTTCTGTATATATCTATGTATTTAATAACTTGTGCACCTACAGCCAACACTCTAGAACATAGTTCACCTCAAGAAAGACAAAAACGAATCTATCCCACGGGATTCGTATATTTTTCGGGAATAAAAAGTATCCTATGTGCTATTCCCGATTATAATCTATCTGTGCTACAGTTCATCCAGATCCGTTCAGCCATTCTATAAAAAGTATCCATTATGTTGACCCGGATAACCAGCTATCATCATACCAAATTTCATCAGAATCTGTCCAATGGTTTTCTCTTGATGCGGTAACAGACAGACACGCAAAAATTCTAAAAACTATAAATTCGAACTCTGTATCGACAATAATGTCTATTTCAATTAGATTTTCCAAAAAATATTTAATGTACAGATTTGACTTAGTTACAATTTTATTATATGTATATAGTCCTATTTAGAATTGGATATAAAAGTAATGACATACTTATCATGTTTTTATCAGTCATGTTTTTATTATTTGACAACACGTTTGACTCAGTTTGTAGTGATCCTTGAGTACTTGCTGTGCCAGCGGTCGCGGGTTCGAGTCCCGCTGGGGTATTCATTTGTGCGATGAGCATTTTATGGGACTAAGGGGGCAAACGGGTAGGAGGCTCACCTGATGAAAAGTGATCACCGCCGCCCATGGACATCTGCAACACCGCAGGGCTTGCAGACGCGTTGCCGGCCTTTAAGAAAGGAATACGCTCTCTTCTTGAAGGTGGCCAGGTCGTAGCGGTTCGGAAAGACCGCCGGCGATAGCTGGTTCCACAGAGTGGTTGTGCGGGGCAGAAAATGCCTTAAAAATCGCACTGTTGTGGAACGCTGGACATCGAGATGGTGTGGATGGAATTTACTATTTTGGCGCGATGTCCGATGGTGAAATTCAGCAGCCGGGATCAGTCCGAACAATTCCTCAGAACACTCCCCGTGATAGATGCGGTAGAAGATGCAGAGTGATCCAACATCTCTACGCAGAGCTAAAGGATCAAGCCGATCGGAGAGAGCTTGATCGTCGATAACTCGAATCGCCCTACGTTGAATGCGGTCAAATGGAAGTAGCTGGTACTGGGGAGTTCCCGCCCAAAGATGAGAACAGTACTCCATGTGGGGCCGAATTTGCGCCTTATAAAGAATAAGACGCTGACGCGACGTGAAGTACTGTCTCGCCTTGCTGAGCACACCAAGCTTCTTTGAGGCCAGTTTGGCCTTACCTTCCAATTGACCACGGAACTGGACGTTGCTCGAGATGTCGACGCCAAGTATTCCGATACTGGCTGTGGGAGACAGAGGAGTGTCCTCAAATTGAGGAGCTACGATAAATGGCGACTTTTTAGCGGTTAACGCGCAAACTTGTGTCTTTTTGGGGTTGAATTGGACTAAGTTTAGTCGACCCCAATCCGAGACTTTGGTTAACAGAGATTCGACTTCAGACACAAGTTTGTTCCGGCTCTCGTCGACGTATTCCCGAGAAATATTAGCACGGCCAGTGTACAGCGCATCCACAGTGCTATCGTCTGCATAGCAATGAATGTTGCTAATTTGCAACATGTCATTGATATGCAGAAGGAACAGAGTAGGAGACAGTACACAGCCTTGTGGAACACCAGCATTGACATATTTAGGATCAGAGCAAGCACCGTCGACAACGACCTTAATGCTCCGATCTGCCAAAAAGCTGGTGATCCAGTTGCAAAATTTCTCGGGGAGCCCATAGGAAGGTAGCTTCGAAAGAAGCGCTTTATGCCATACCCGATCAAAGGCCTTCGCTATGTCCAGACTGGCTGCAAGCGCCTCCCCCTTGGTCTCAACTGCTTCTGCCCATCTATGTGTCAGGTAGCATGTTTGTACTCCAGTCATGGGTGTTAATATTTATAATATGTATGTATTTAAATTTATATATGTGTAGTGTTAAGTGGATCAACTATCTGCTATACATAACACAGGCCTCATAGCTTACCATGGAACTAGATAGAATGCTTGATACACTATTTACAGCTACTTCCCTGGTTGTTTTCAGTGCTTTAATTTAAATTAGATATTTCTGAAATTAAGAAGCTTTGGAATTTGTAGGAAATTTTGTCTTTCTTAAAGTTTTCATTAAGTGATGATGTTCTCCTAGCCGATTCCGGCCACGGCGGTCAATCTCAATGAGATTAGCCAACTGCGCAGGAGATATTATAGTGCACAAGTGTACGCGCAGACACAAGTGCACTCTCTATTCCTATCACTCTCATACTCTGGTGGGACGACAACTCGACACGACCGGTGAGAGTTAAGGCGCAGGACCGACGGCTTTACGTGCTCTCCGAGGCACGGGGGTGAAACACCGCCAACTTCCCAACTCCGGGCTGTTACTGAGACTTACTATACAGGAAGACTCAATAACTAAACTTGGCCCGACCCGGGACTCGAACCCAGGACCTCCGGGTGTGCAGCCGTACATGCTAGCCACTACACCACCGAAGCAGTCAAATTTTCATTTCATTAAGTAATATCCCTAGAAAAATATAGTAAAATTGTAGTCCTGCAATTAACTGATTTATAGATTGACCGACCAGACCGGATGATACATAAAATGTTATATTTTTAGTTAAACAAGTTGCTTTTATTTAAAATAATTAATTTAGATCGACAAAAAAAATGTATAAGTAGTATTTATTCAACATTTATTATGTCACTTAAATTTTAAAAAAATTACTAAGTAATTGTTGCATGAGTGCCATAACTTTATTTTTCTCATTATTAAAAAAAGAAAAGCAAAAATTACATTATATAAATATCTGTAGCACTTCAATCTGGTATATTCTTCTATAGAGAAAACATTAGACTTATTCATAATTCATAACAAAAGCTATACATCTGTTTATTGTTTACTAACTTTCATAGGTTTGTTTTCCCACATTATTTTACATTCCCACAATATATGATATGCAGCTGTTAACAAGTATAAATATAAAATTGTATAATACATTTATAGCCGAGGTATTCTTTTATTCACAATTATTAGGAGAAATGTTGTTTTTTTTAAATGGAATATAATATAATCAGATTAATTATGATGGTGATAATGATGACTATAAAAAAATAGAAACCTGCTATTTAAGTCCTACCTATCCACTATTTAAGTTCAGTAATATCAATGATAATGCAAATTTCTTTATTATCATCTATACAGATAAATAAAATAGAAGTGTCTGTTTGTAATGTCAAAATAACAGCGTTTTACTAAATGCATGTGTACTTAAGTCACATTTTTTTTAATTTTTGTATGTCTTTCTGTTTGTTCCGGATAATCTCTGAAACGGCTGGACTGATTTTGACGGGATTTTCACTGGAAGATAGCTGATGTTATAGGGAGTAACATAGGCTACTTTTATTTTAGAAAAAAAATTAGTTCCGTTCAAAAAAATTAAAACATACGCAGGAATGAACCAGAGCAAAGCGATGGTGAGTCACTAGTTATATCATAAAAAAATAGTGGAAACAATCTTTCCTATGGAATTGGAGCTTAAAATACATAATACACTATGTATTATTTTACTTATTTATTCATAATCAGTGATAATAAAAATCAACTTATATGAAAGTAATAATTAAGGGTTTTCCGTGCACTAACTAATAATAATATAATCGTGTTTTTATTTTTCTGGCACATCTTCAGATATATAGTAGTCTGTTTGTTTACAGATTGAAAATTTTGTTTGTGCCAAGATTCACAAATGGCAGACTTCATATCATAATAAAATTGCACAAACCATTTTAAACTACCACTATTAGCAACATAATATTATCATAATATACAACCTTCATGTTATAAAAAAAATAGTTCTATTTATTGTAAAACTAAAACCATTTTGGAGAAAGAAGAATTGAGATGATCACTCAATTATTTTTAATAATTAATAAATAAATATTATATAAATTATTGAATATTTTCAAGTTATTTAGTTTATAAATAGATCTAATGAAACTTTACTACAAATGATGTCAACAATAATAGTTTGAATGACAACATTTAGCTATGCACTTTTAATTCATTAATTTATTTACTTGTCAGCTTTTTCTAGTTAATGATAAAACATATTATGTTACCTGAAATCTTGTAACTTGTTAAAGTGAGCTGCATAATATACATATATAAACAATTATATTTTCTTCTATATTTTTAAGATAAACCTAGACTAATCATCTTAAAAAAATCAAATTTTGTAAAATATATATGCAGAGAAAGCCCTTCTTTGTAATTTTATGAATTTGTTATGATACAAAGTGTTTATATAAATTAAAAAAAAATATTAACTTTAAATTTTATTTTTGACAAGATAATAAAGTTGGCATTGAACTAAATACTTATAATTATGACTGAATATTTATAATTTTTACAACATTATTATATTTATTTGCATTTAATTATTATTTATGTGATATAATTACTATGCCTCAAATTTTTAAAAAGTAGGTAGTTCCGAAAGAAATATGTAACTGTAAAAATGGGATAGGTTTTAGATTTTAAAATTGTTTAGCATTAAGCTATAAATTTTTCGATTTACATAAATGTGCATCGGCTTCTTCAAAGCCTAGTCGGACATTTGACACTGCAAAGCTTAGACATCGATTCAATTCGTTTAGAGAATTTTTAGGTCAAAGTACGATGAACTTGAGAGCGCTTTACTCACCGTAAAATGCTTAATGCCGGCACTTGCTTCCCTATGGAATGCGTGCAGGCAGGGCCCGCATTCGCTAGGAAAGCATTACCCACTGTTTTATACACGTTTGGAAAGTTTCCTCTACGGAAACCGGCCACGACAACAATCACTGATTACACTGCAGGGTTCACAGGCGTGTAACCTGACAGGAACGTACCAAAATAGCACCACTCTTGTTTTATTCACTGTTACGGACAAAAGGCACTGGTATCCAAGTAATAACTCCGAAAAGCACAAGTTGAGAACGTCTGAATCGGTATATTTTCAGTTAGTCCATTACACAATCGCATCTGTAACTGTTTTTTTCACACGCGTATTTACAGAAACTTGTTTCTGAAGCTGGTTGAACGTAAAAAAATAAGAATGAAGCGTCAATCTCACTACGATAACCGAAAAACACAAGCAAGCAAGTCAAACGCGCAGCTGGCTCGCCGTCGCCTCTCGCTCGGCTGCGGGACGCAGCAAGGCGAGGGACGCGGGCGGGTAGAGGGGCGCGCTCCTACCGCCCCTCAACCTTCCTGCTTCGTCTCGCGAGTCATATTTTCATTATTACGTTACGATACGTTTATTTCATTTATTTAAGTTGCATGCGTTTGCTATCCGAGTGCATCAAACAGAAGCGATGCATCTAAATAAAATACCGATGTATTTGTTGCCCAGCCAAATAGGGATTTTAGCGAACTGTCTTTTTTATTATTTTGAACTATATATTAACAAACGCTTTCTATTGCCATAAAAAAAAATAGTTTCCATAAAAAAAAAATTTAGTTTCCATAGAAACGTGTTAGAAGTGAAACTTCATCGGTCATTTAATTAAATTTCAAATCTGTAAGATTAATAAATTGCCGTTAAAGAAAAAAAAGATTATTAAAATAAAAAAAAAACTTTTAATATTACACTCGGACAAAAATATCATTCAAACCATGTATGACAAATAAAAATCAAACGAATATCAGAATAGAGAATAATATTTTATCCCTTTCTATCTAGCTGGATTCTTACATCTATCGCATATACTCTAAGAAACGAATCCGAGCGAAGCGAGGTTGAGCCACTAGTCGTAAATATTTTGCATATTTAAAAACAAATTACTAGTTAATAAAAAAATAGTAATCTTTGAAGATAGCAACCACGGTAATGTAATATCATAGAGTATATTGCTACTGTAACATTTAGTATATTTTATGTGCCAGTTCGTAGATTTTGAATATAGATGTTTGATATGTCAAGTGGACAGTCGGTGATTCGGATTATATGAGTTAGGAATATTAAAATATAAATGTAAAATGAGTATACAGAAAAAGCGAGAAATATAATTGTTAATTGCCAAATATTTGTCTTCCTGGAAAACCCTTCTGAGCTGTTTTAGCTCAGAAGTGGGATTACTGCAAAAATATACTGTTTTTGCAACGCCCACTGATCATCTGACAATTTGAAGGTTACGTTATTTTGTAATTTATATGATTTTTTTCATGAAAGGATTCAAAATCCTAAAATATGTTTCAATTTGTGAGGTAATTGTGTATTAAGTTGAATAATATGAAAAAAAATACAAAATAGTGTGATTATTAGTTAGATGTATATGGATTAATCCAAAGTATATTAAAAATGTCTACGGAAAATTTTATTTGAAAGTAGAAAATGATGTGTTGAGATAGAGTTAAGGCGATAAAATACATATTAACTTAGATTGAATATTGTATAATAACAGAAGTTGGAAAGTCATTTAGCTCAAAAGATACTACTCCTGGATGTGACAATATTTTATATTCCATTCTTAGGTTCCTTCCAAATAATGCCAAAACGTGTTACTTTTACTATACGATAAATTTCTGAATCTTGAATTTATACCAAAACAGTAGAGAGACATTAAAGTTGTTCCTATTCCGAAACCTGGTTGGGTTGGTTCTAGTTCATCCCTAAGACCTATTATAATGATGTTGTGCGTTTGTAAAGCTTTTCATAACATTCTATTGAAGCGAATACAATGGTTTATAGAAAAGTTTGAATTTTTTTAAAACCGGATAAATGGGTTTAGAAAATTCCGATCTACACTTGATAATCTCAGTGATTTAGTATTGACAATAGAGAAAGTTTTCTTTTAAGGAAGACGTACACTATAGTACGCTTTATAGACATCGATAATGCATATAATAACAATCTCAGAGGTCTTTTACATAACGTGGAGGAAATGGGAGTCGGATCTAATATTTGCACCTACGTACATAATTTTTTTCAAGGAAAGAAATCTTAATATTTTAATTGATAACTCGTATTATGTCTCTAGGAAAACTTAGCCCAAGGCGATCCTTTATCACCTTTAGTGTTCAATATAGCAACTATGAATTTATGCAAAAAGATTAAAAAATGTATTAATATCCCAATATGCTGATGATTTTGTAATATAAATAACTTGTGATAACTTTAGCTTAGGGACCATACGTATGCAGAGATCGCTAGATGAATTGAATAGTCATTTATCCGATATAAGGTTGACTGTATCGCCATCGAAAACAAAGATTTGTGTTTTCATGTCTGACTATAGAAAATAAATAATTAATTTAAAAATTAATAACATTGCTTTAGAAAAAGTTGATAGTATTAAATATTTAGGTCTTTGGCTGGATAAGTCACTAAAATAGAAAAAGCATATAGATGAATTAAAGGTTAATTTATCTAGATGTTTAAAAGTTTTAAAGATCTTGGCAGTTCTAGTTGGGGTATTCATCCAGTGCACATGCGACGTCTATATATTTCATTAATTCGTAGTAAAATTGACTATACCAGTTCTCCCAAAAACTACAGCAAATTATGCAAAGAAGGATATTACATTTGAAGGATCACAACTCTATAACAAATTACTATCTACTTTAAAAAAATGTAAGCTCAATGAACGGATTTAAATCTCAGCTCTCACAATATATTTTGGAAAATAACCAATTTAATAACATTTAATATACATACATCTGTAACTATATCTCGTTAACTGAGTACCTACTTATGTGGCGATTATTTGCATAATTTTTACTTTATGTAATTACGTTGTTCTCATGTAAGTGACTTTGTCCTTTTTGAGAATTAAAAAAAATCTTTTAACTTAATAGTTGCAAAACTCATCTTAAAAAGTTGGATATAGTTTAGAACCAATATTTGAGAATAATCGGTGGATACATCAAAACCACTGCCACTCACGTGATGGAATGTGAGCTTTATCACCCTCCACTCCACATTCGTAGAATTAGGTACCTTGCAGGCAAATTTTGGTTAAAAATCAGTTCCTTTAAAAACAATAATATAGTTTACGTATTAGATAGTTTTCACACAAATATTACAGATACTTATAGAGAACACATGAAATAAAAACCTTTATTACTTAAAATTCATGAAGCTTATAAATCAACCAATATTTTTTCTAGTGAACGGATGGAAATGTTTTCATTGAACTCTGGGTTAATAAAATAGATTTATCGAAAAGTATAAGAACAGATGTTGATATTATGAATAGGTACAAACAGTTTTATAATCTCCACACATTGCATGAGGTCTGCATAAAGTTCATTAGTGGAAAATTTTTACAAAATCTATAATGATGGTTCAACGGATAATTGTGGGGCTACAGCAGCTTTTTGGGACCCGCAATCTAAGAAAATTATAAGTTAACTCTAAATTCTAAATTTTTGATTATGCATATTGAACTCTTTGCCACTGCTGAAGCTCTGTCCTATATTGATTTCTGGGATTACGAGAAGTATTACTGGCTAATTTTTAAAGTGCTCTTTACATTTGAATCGGTGTACTCTAGCCTATAGAGGAATGCCTATAGCTTATGAAATGATTAAGTTATTAAGTAATCTCCATTGTAAAAATAAACAAATTGTACTACAGTGGGTACCCTCACATGCCGGCCTAAAAAAATAATGAAACAGTAGATAAATTTGCAAGAGAAGCCATAACAGACCGTATTCCGTGTATACTACATACTTACCATATTGGTCAGATGTTTTGTTTTTAATAAAAATACAATGATTAGAAAACGTGGAAAGAATATCTTAGTGAAAAACTGTTACATAAAAGTATTGGGTATAAAACTATTCAACCTACCTATATATATATATATATATGACGCTTCTCATGAGTCAGCTAGGCCGATATGAGTAGATATGATACTGAAACTAGTTTTAGGCTTCGTTCGGGTCACCTTCCATTGAACTATTTTGCGGTTTTAATGGGTAAGTCAAATTCGACACATTGCGCTGAGTGTGGGATTGTGGAAGATACTAATCATAATTTAATGAAATGTGTTCAGAATGAGGCAGGCAGAATATGTTTCTTTGAAACATGTAAGCTAAATAAAATGGATGTTGGTGTTGTAACACCCCAATTGGGTCAAGCAAAGATGCCGTATAAAATTGTGCAATTAGGTTTAAAAAGGTAGAATAGATAAAAAAAAAATGTATTTCCTATAAGGGTGGCATGGTCTTTACAATCAACCCCTATGAAAAATAAAAATAAAAAAAAAGTGTAAGAAAATAGATTTATTTTTTGAACAAATCTATGAAATACTACTAATTATTATTTTTTATTTGTTAAGCACTTCAATTGATATATAACAAAGTTTTAAAATATAATAAACTAATGATATTTGTGTGTACAAGTTCTAGATGGATGGAGGTGAATTTGACGAAATGAGGCGACGGAGATAAGAAATCGTCCCCTGTATGTTTTACGTAACCAGATAGAAGAAGCTAAGAGCTTGTGAGGGCGAGCATTGCAGCCGAAGCCCGATCGGACACGAGAGCCGACAAGATAGTGTTCACTATTTGCGAAGTAGGAGGCAGAGCTGTAATGATCACCATTGGCCAAACTTTAAACACGGGAAGTTCTGTTTATTTATTTATTTGATGAGTATGACTTTTGATGGAGAGGAGGAGTATTTTTATTAATATTGTAGAGACAAATAGGTAGTGAACCTGTCTGCATAACTAAGAGCTCGAGCGGATGTGTGCCGAGCATGAGTGTTATGTATGACTGGTTGCTCAACTAGTTGGTAGTGAAAGAATAGAAGTAACTATCCTCTAGTTGAAGTTGGTGATATAATAACTATAAGACAAATAGGTAGTGAACCTGTCTGCATAACAAAGAGCTCGAGCGGATGTGCGCCGAGCATGAGTGTTATGTATGACTGGTTGCTCGACTAGTTGGTAGTGAAAGAATAGAAGTAACTATCCTCTAGTTGAAGTTAGTGATATAATAACTATAGCGATATCAGGTCATAAGACTTGGAGCAAGATGGTAGTGAAAGAATAGAAGTAACTATCCTCTTGTCAAGTTGTAGTGACAGGATAGCTATAGCGATTATGCCCTGAGATTTAAAGCAAAATGGTAGTGAAAGAATAGGAGTAATTCCTCTAGTATATTTAAAGCCTACCCGTGACTCACAATGACCTTTTTTTCATCAGGCAATAGAAGGATTAAACCGATTGATTCATGACGTACCGAACAAATCTACATCCCATCATAAAGCGGGAACTACAAAAGA